CGACCTCTTCATCACTCTCCAACTTCCTTCGGATATTGATTGGTTTTCATCGCTTTGATCACTTATCGATGTGTAGTCCTCATCATCTTCATCGTGATTATACTCCATGTGATCGCCATCCTCCATAAATGGTCCACCCACATCATCATCTTCCATGTAATCGACATTCTCCACATTCGGCCTACCACTACTTGCCCCTACTTCCAAATGGGACCTAGAAGTACCCGCCACCTCCAAATCTACATACAAATCAATATATGTCGAATTTGGGAGGAAATACAACACTTGCAACGATGCGTCGTCCTTGATTTTGGCGATACACCTAAAACCATTGCCCATCGTATCATACAAAATCGATAGACTCAAATTCACATTCTCTCTATTCCACCCCGCTCTTTCACAAATCAATCCAACCAAATCATTATACAATACCTTATGATCAATCACAAAGGAATCGTCCGGCATGTTGTTAAAAGTATTCACAATCTCATTCTTCACAACAAATTTGCTCGACCAATAGACATTAATGAAATATGGACTGTTAAACGTCATTTATATCTATTGATTACATTAATTACAACACATCATGAACAAATTATTAAAAAAAAATGATACAAACAAGGCATTATCAAACAACTTATTATAACAATTACCACAAAAAAGGCATAATCAACACTAAATTTACTAAACCCCCTACAAATTCAAAAGTATAGGCCAAATTCAAGCATTTTACTAAATTGAACGTTCAATACCACGTATACAACAACAATCATCAACTACACCCAACATCAACCCTAAAACCTTATAAATCATCCTAGTTCTACGCTTTTATAAAGAAAATAACAACAATAATTCTAAATACATCAAAACATTAACTAACCTTCTCGTGAAATGGTTTTAAGACATCCGTTGCGAAGAATCGTGAACGAAATCTTCAAATCGCCACTAAAAACACCTCCTCCTTCAAGAAATCGCCTCCTTTACCAAAAATCCCGATATGTGAACAGTGTTTTCCGTCGCCCCATTATAACACAAAAAGGTCGGATTTCTAAAATCCGAGTTTATAAGTAAAATCAGATTTAGGGAATCCGACCTTCTGCCCGCTAATAGCGTCCATTCAATGCTGATATCTACTGTTAGGTATGCTTTAATAAGGTCGGATTTTGTAAATCCGACCTTGTACTGTTCTTAATTTTCAAATCTCCCGCCTATATTTTTTTAATAAAAATAAATAAGGTCGGATTCCTAAAATCCGACCCTTTACTGTTCATTAGTTGACTTTTAATACATTTTTCTCACATGTATTCTCCGAAAAAAATTATTATTTTATTAAATCAGATTCGTAAAATCCGAATTACTAATTTAATTAGTAGTTCGGATTTTGTAAATCTGATTTCCATATTTTGCTTTATAAAAAAAAATATAGATTTCTCTATTATTTTTTCTAGGCAATTTTTTAACCAAAGCACACTAAAGAAGGAAGACAAATTTTTTCAAGAAAATAAAAGAAATAGAAAACTCGACGTGGCTCCATCAAAGTCAAAGTAGGCGGCTTACAGAAGTTTCCATGCGCACTGACTGACCACCTCACTACCAGACACTCTTCACTAGTACTTAGTTTTGGCATTATGCTAAAATTGCAACTTGCACTTAAGCCCATGAATTCACCAAAGATATGGTGGTGAATTGGAGCTTCAAAAATGATTGGATCATTTGAAACACACCTATCAAATAATGCTCAAAGTCATATTGATCCTCTATATATATTTATTAAATGGTCTTTTATTTATTCTGTCGAAAATAAGTTTTCCTTGTGTTTCATCGTATTTTGTATTGTTGAACTGTTGTAATACAATAAATATGATTCTTAGTTTGTAATGAAAGAAGGATAATGTATTACTTCCATCATGATTTATGTCTGATTAATTAAAATGTTAGAAGCCTAATGCGTTACAAGGGGAAAAAAAAAAGAGTTTACTCAACCAATATTACTAAGACATTAGCCATTGTCATTATGTATTTTTAGATTTTTAACCAATACATCTTGAATATACCCTAGGAATAAATTAAACATAGGTTATTTTTAAACTAACTCATAAGGTTGCATCCACTACTAACATTACGATGGCACACGCACTTGTAGACTTAAGTCGCAAAACAGTTGTGCTTTTTTCTTTTTTTGAAATGGAAACGTGGTATTGAAGATTTGCAAAAGCACAATTGTCACCACTTACAAATTTTTTACTTCCTGTTACTCTACCTTTCTATAACTAAATATAACAGTTGTGCTTTTTGATCATTTAAATTGTGTATATAAGATTTTTCAGTTAATTTTTTTTTAAAAAAATAATATATATATATTTATATATAAACAAAGCTGGAATCAAGCAGCACTGATTTTTCAGTTAATTGATTAATGTGAAAAGTACTCTCTCTGTTTGGATTGGGAAGAAAGAAAAGTATCATTTGTTGCTATTTTAATTGAACAACGATAATTTTAATTCTAAGGTAGGGGGAACGTATATATCATTTATTCTTTATAAGCACTTTTCTTAGATGTTTCCGTTTAGTTAACTAACTGAAAATATCCCCATAAATATGTGGCATGAACTCTTTAACCCTTTCAATTCCCTTGTCTTTTTTTTTTTTTTTTGCATGATAATGGAATCAGATTATTACACTTAGCTTGGCTGATGCGTGCACGTATTTACAACGTCCAAATCCTTTCTACCTTTGTGTGGTTAATTTCTATCTGATCAGGAAATGCAATTGACTTGACTCATTGAATAAACTCATTTGATTACCATTCCCCCAAAAAAAAAAAAAAAACCCAGATATAGTCCGTCTTCATTTTATTTTTTATTTTTCCCAGTCCGAAATTATATGGATTTTTATTTGTTTGAAAAAAAAAAGAATCATAAGGAAAATAAAAGGATTCTTAATTACTTTCTTTGTAGTGCTTATACAGTTCATCTCGTTACATCTCTGAATTAAAAATTAGGGCGTCCCTTTCTTCACTTGATAAAGCTTCAAACAACCAAATCATAGAGATAGGATAGTGCGGAATTGACTCTATTAATTATTTGAAATTCAGAATGTGTATCGCTGTGTGGGGTGTGTCTAATTAGCAAATCATTTTGCAATATTGATGGTTGACCAATGGCACCAAATGCCAAATTGCTTGATTTTGGAATATTATTACAAGCAGTTTTTTTACGGGTGGGACATTTTGCTTATGATGATGTTTCGAAGCAACTGTGAACTGTGAAGTAGCCATCAACTTGAATATAAAACATACATGAAAACTTCTATGACACTTTAACAATAAGAACCACAATTTTTGTACAGTAGTCTTTCTTTTTCTTTTTTTTTTTGGTAAGAAGTAGAGTGGTTCTCGGCATGGGTCTCTGTCGTTTTTGTCTCAAAAATAATTGTCATGTTTGAATTTCATTTTTAATATAATTTATATTAAAAATTCATTTTTAAAATGAATAATCATTTCAGATTGAGAGAGAGTAATAATCATTGAAAATATTTATCCTTGGTAAGGCATAAACATTACTAATTGCAGTGCGCCAGTGCCCATAATTATAGACATTCATGTAAATGTACAAAATAATTAGAAAAAATAATTATTCAACGGATTGGAGAACTTCTCATACGAAAAAATATAATTTTGAAAAACTGAAGAAAGATCAATCTTTTTAAAATGCATCATAGTGTGAGACCACAAAAGATAAGGTTATTTTTTGGGTCAACTGACATTCTGAATATTAAGTTAAATTAATTTAGTAGCATTAATTTGGGTGTCAATTTGCCCTGGTGCAATACCATTAAGTGAACATTTGAATTATTGCCATAGAATTTCAAAGGCGAATGTTGGAGTGGGGACATGATCACCTTGATTATATGTTCTAATGACGTCCTTTCCAAATTGTTTAGAAAATCCAATAATGAATATGGACAAAGAGCATGCACCAATTTGAGAATGTCTTTCCATTATGAAATAATTATTCAATTTGTTATACCAAAAGAATTATGATTTTAGAACAGAAAGAGCATGTGCCAGTATGATTAACTCTATCAACTGGACAAATCTATATATCTATATTTATCCTATTAAAACAATAATCCAAGAAAAAAAAATGACTGACGTGTCGCGTTCTTATGCATCTGTTTTTCGTCCAACGAAAACTACATAATTTTGTGAAAAAAATTAATTTCTACAATCTTTAATTATGTTAACTTTCCTTGTCTTTAATTATAATCAATCAATTAATATTAATAGAATAAGGCACTAATGATATAAATAAATAATTTTTTTATTATTTCTAAAATTTAAATATAACAAGTTGAGTTAAAGTTAAAAAATACTTTTACCATTGTATATTTAATTGTAAATATATTGTTGTAAATGGGTCGGGCAACGCCTGGGCTAGCACATAGTAGAACATTATAAACCTTAAAATGAGTTTAAATTATACAGTAAACAGTACCCAAACTTGTTGCCATGATTCCAGGTCTCGTATTACCAATCTGTCCAGCTTAAGCGACTTCAAGTTAAAAAAATACCAGTTAGCCAGCCACCCAAAAAGAATAAACCAATGAATTAAATAATACTAGAAGATTACCTTAGTACCAAACTTAAGTTCGTACGTTTTATATGTTTATTCGAAAGTTAGTTAGGGGGTAACATCTAATGAAGACAATTTCCATAGACGCATAAAACTAAACGGAAAAAAAAAATGTTGAAATGCCCAAGTTATCAGTATCTCAACTTCAAAAACTATCCTCAACTTGCTCGCATTTTCAGCAAGTCTTGCTTATGATCTTCTCCTTACGTAGAATTTTGTTAATGCTTTGATAACTTATGCCCGTTGTGTCCTGAAATGATCGTCCAGTTAATTAAATTGGATAATTATTTTAAAACGGAAAAAGTATTACATTTTAAACTCTGTAATTTTAGGAGGATTAAATAAAAGCATCATTAACAAAAGTCATTCCACGGAAATATAATAAATCTAGAAGATGAGCAAAGTCGTTATCAAGAGGAAAAACGACAAAACCATAATGATGACTGAAGAGTATGTAAAAAGGCCAGAAAGAGCCATGTGTTAAATGCAATCGTCCGCCAAACTCTTTCCTTTCACACAAAGAAGTCTTTACCGACTCAGATAAGCCAAGAAAAACCCAAACCAAACCAAACCCCAATCTTGTCCGTCCGGCATGTCGTCGGAGCCGTTTTTCCGGCCAGTTATTCAAACCCTTTTCGTCCTTCTCTTCTCTTTCCTTTCTCTTGCGTCTTCAGATGAGCTTCAAGCCCTTCTCACCCTCAAATCTTCCTTAAAAGACCCGTCCAACACTTTGGTGTTTGATTCTTGGAATGCAAACAATTCCACGTGCAACTTCTCAGGAATCACTTGTGACCTCACCACGAATCTCGTCACGGAAATCGAGCTATCCAATCACAATCTCTCCGGTTCAGTCCCTTTTGATGCAATTTGTGGGCTTCAATCCTTGGAGAAGCTTTCCTTGGGGTTTAATTTCTTGTCCGGACAGGTTATAGAGGACTTGAACAAATGTGTCAGTTTGAAGTACTTGGATTTGGGGAACAACTTGTTTTCCGGTCCGGTTCCAGATATCTCATCACTCAGCCAGCTCATGTATTTGTACATGAACATGAGCGGATTTTCTGGTACTTTTCCTTGGAAATCCTTAGACAATATGTCTAATCTTGTGGAATTGAGCCTTGGAGACAACCCTTTTGATAGAACTCCATTTCCTAATGGAGTGCTTAAACTTACCAAATTAACTGTGCTTTATTTGAGCAATTGTAGTATTGAAGGGACGATTCCACCCGGAATTGGAAACCTTACTGAGCTAACTGATTTGGAATTGGCTCAGAATTTTCTAACTGGTAAAATCCCTGTTGAGATTACCAAGCTTCAAAAGTTATGGCAGCTTGAGCTTTATATGAATGAATTGACCGGTGAATTGCCGGTGGGATTTGGAAACTTGACCAATCTCCAAAGATTCGATGCATCAACGAATTTTCTTACCGGAAATCTTTCAGAAGTGAGGCTATTGAGCAAATTGACGAGCTTACAGCTCTTCGAGAATGAATTTACAGGGGAGCTTCCACCGGAGCTCGGAGATTTTCAGCATTTGGTTAATTTCTCTGTGTACAGAAACAAGCTTTCTGGACAAATTCCTCAGAATATTGGTTCATCATCGCAGTTCAACTTCATTGATGCATCGGAGAATTTCTTCACCGGTTCAATCCCGCCGGACATGTGCAAACAGGGGACCATGACAGAGCTTCTGATCCTGCAGAACAACCTCACCGGAAAAATCCCAGAAAGCTATGCAAATTGCTTGACCTTAACTCGTTTTAGGGTCAGCAATAATTCGCTTTCTGGGGAAGTTCCAAGAGGGATTTGGGGACTACCGAATTTAGGAATGATTGATGTTGCAATGAATGATTTGGTTGGCCCTGTTACTTCTGATATTGGAAAAGCCACTTCCTTAGCTCAGTTGCTTCTTTCTGATAACAAATTTTCAGGGGAGCTTCCATCGGAAATTTCCAAGGCTAATCAATTGGTTTCACTTGATCTAAGTGGAAATCAGTTCTCTGGAGAAATCCCATCCACAATTGGCGATTTAAAGCAGTTGGATAATCTGTATCTCCAAGATAACACATTTTCTGGTTCAATACCAGATTCTTTGGCTTCTTGTGACTCTTTGACTATTATTAATCTGGCTCATAATCATCTTTCTGGGCAGATTCCGGTTAATCTTGGATCACTGTCAACCTTGAATTCCCTGAATCTGTCAGACAATCAACTCTCCGGCCAAATCCCATGGAGTTTGTCGTCTCTGAAGTTGAATGTTCTTGATCTTTCGAACAATAAATTGAGTGGTCTTATACCTGAGACTCTTTCAATTGATGCCTACAATGGTAGCTTTTCTGGAAATAATGGTCTCTGTGGCAACAACCTCAACAACTTCCCTAAATGTTCAGCAGGCTCTGGAGATTCAAAAGAGCTCAGAAAGCTTCTAATATGCTTTTTGGGACTGGGAATTGTTGCCATGTTAGTTTGCCTAGCATGTTTCTGGCACCTGAAAAAGAAGAGCCTGAAGGGTCAAAATCGGTCTTGGAGGGAAAACTCATGGGACATGAAATCATTCCATCTTTTGTCCTTTACAGAAGATGATATTCTTGATGGAATCAACCAGGATAATTTGATTGGAAAAGGTGGTTCTGGGAATGTTTACAAAATTTCCCTTGAAAATGGCAATGATTTGGCAGTCAAGCATATTTGGAATTCTGACCCTGATAGCAAGAAAAAAGAGGAAAGCACAACTACTATGCTGCCAAAAGGTAGTAGGAAATTATCAGAATTTGAGGCTGAAGTCCAAACTTTGAGCTCCATTAGGCATGTTAATGTGGTCAAATTGTACTGCTGCATAACTAGTGAGGACTCAAGCTTGTTGGTGTACGAGTACATGCCGAACGGGAGTCTATGGGATCGATTGCACACGAGTAACAAGTTGGTTCTTGATTGGGAAACTAGGTACGAGATAGCTTTAGGCGCGGCGAAAGGGTTGGAGTATTTGCATCACGGCTGTGATCGCCCGGTCATCCACAGGGATGTTAAGTCCAGCAACATCTTGTTGGATGAGTTGATGAAGCCAAGAATTGCTGATTTTGGCCTAGCAAAGATTGTTCAGTGCAACGCAAGCAAAGACTCCACTCATGTTATTGCAGGAACACATGGTTATATTGCACCTGGTAAGCGAAACCAGCCAATTTTTTTTAACAATTTTCTGTTGCTAATTCCTGTTATAAGTTTGTGCTAATGGTTTACTTTTGTATTATGCAGAATATGGTTACACACAAAAAGTTGACGAAAAAAGCGATGTCTACAGCTTTGGAGTTGTTCTGATGGAGTTGATCACTGGAAAAAGGCCGATTGAGCCGGAGTTTGGTGAGAATAAGGACATAGTTAGCTGGATAAGCTGCAAATTAAAGAGTAAAGAAACTGTCTTAAGCATCATTGACTCAGCCATCTTAGAAGGCTACAAGGAAGAGGCTATTAAGGTGTTGAAAATAGCCATTCTTTGCACAGCCAGACAACCAACTCAAAGGCCTACAATGAGGACTGTAGTTCAAATGTTGGAAGCTGCTGAACCTTGTAAACTTGTTGGGATCATTATCAACAAAGAGGACAGTTATATGAAGAAGGACTTAAAAGGAAATGACAAGTTGCAGAAATGACCCTTTTGGCTGAGCTAATCTTTTGTTCCAAGAACAATCTTTAGATTAGAAAGGTTGCTGAAGAAGCAATGTAATGAGTTTTGTACTACTAAGCCTTGTACCATAGTGACCATAAGCCTTGTAAGAATAGCATTATATTCTTTTTGTCCACAAAAAAAAAAAAAAACTAGTCCACCGTTTTGTGATTTGTACTAAAAAAATGTAAATCATAAAATACAACGTGGATTATTATTCTAGGAGGAAGGGAGTATATCATATAAATACTTCAATTTTTGTGCAAATCCGGCATGATTAGCAAAAATAAAGCCCTCTTCTCAATTTGTACATAATTTGGTTGTAAAGACCTGGTGTGTTCATCACATTCTGTTTGGTAGACCAAATAAAATGTTCCAAATTTCAATGTTTATACTCATCCCGGTCTTGTTTATAGGGCACAACTCATCACACGGACAAAGCAGACAATGTGAAATGCACCGGAACAACTTTTGTAGATCTGGACTCTGAAGGTCAAAGTAACTAAACACTTGGGCTTTATGTCCAAATTCAGTAGGAATTACGGTAAAGTCCAAATCCAACAAAATAAACCTACATTGAGACAGAGTCAATCTCTTCAATTAACAAACTAATTGCCCATTTCTTCATGAGGCCTTTTTATTCCCAACTTTAAGCCTCCATCTCCTTAAACCCAATCCAAAAAGATAACAGGATTCAGTCCTGCTGGAAGTAGGAAGTAGGAAAATCGCCAAAATTGAACAAATAATAATAATAATAATAAAAAAAAAAAAAACATAGTAACCCATTTGCATGTGAAGTTGTGAACAATTTCTTTTTTTTGTCTCTTATTACAAATCTTAATCTACCTGTCCCGTCTTAAAAGAATACTTCACAAAAAATTTTGATATTTTATATTATTTTAATATAAATTCTTAAAATTTAATGTGAGTTTTTTTAAAAGACAGATAAAGTAAAATTATACTAATACCTTACCAACAAGATAAACAATAATATTGAATCTTATGAATATGAGTTCATCAGTATATAAACGGTCGAGCAATTTATTAACTGTAATTTATTTATTCTCTTTACAGTGAGAATTCGATTCTTAAGCTTTGTAGATGTGCAAAACCATCGTAGTGGGTAACACCGTTTAAAATAAAAAATAAAAAATTCGTAGTGGGTAACAGTAACATTATTACATTAGAGAGAAACCTAAATCATCCTCCTAATTGATTAATGAATCAATCATCACGTCCTGAAATTCTTTTTTAATTAGAAATTAATATATATTATATATATATATATATATATATTATATGCACAAACATGTACATACAAATAGCCATTTCGGTTGAATTTGTTGAGCAAACTGCACCACCCTCATGTTGCACAAATTGTTCCCATTTGCCACTGGCTACCTTTAACTTCTTTGTGAGAAATCAGACGCTCATCTCTAACATCCTAATTTATTGTCAGAGTCGACAACCAAAATATCTGAATTCCAACAACCGCAGTTGTTTGGTAATCTTCCGGTACTTTTCTTTAATTTTTTATTTTTGAAGACTTTCATTATCACTCAATTTTTACCGAAATAATTATGCAGCTTGATTTTTTTTTTATTTTTTATAGAAATTGTATGAAAAGTCAAAATTCAAATGGGATAATTATTTTGGAACTTAAAGAATACTCCATCTGTCCTAAAATTATTGTCCAGTTTGAGATTTCACTTTTAGTACAATTTAAACTAAAAATGAAAACTCAAACCGGATAATAATTTTGGGACGGAGAGAGTACTACTTTTTTTTCCTTATTAATAAATGAATCCGATGCAATAATTTAGTGATCTTTTCAAATTCTCCTCCATTTATATTTCATAGCATAGATGCTCATCAAGTAGTACTAATGAATCTATTAACTAAGTAATTATAATTAGGATCCGATCCGAACATGTGAATGTATCAAGCTAGTAACTAATAATTGTAAGAGCTAATCAAAATGAGGTTCGACCAACAAAAAAAAAAAAAAACACTTTTTTGGAAGGCATTACATGATGCATTAGTTACTCGATCAGCACTAGCAACAAGAAGACAATCTATATCTATTCCTTAACTGTAGCGTGTCCAAAGAAATTTGAAAATTGGCTCAAATTTCCTTCACAATCATCTTTCAGAATTTGCATTCATTTCTCTTCCAAACTTTTGCTCACTGGATTCAGACGTCTCCATCCAAGGAGGATGTTGATCGTTTCCTTCTTATTATATGGTATATGGATGGAAAGAAATAACAAAATTTGGCGCCAACAAGTCCCGACCCTGTTGATTCATGGAGAATGATTCAAATGGATTTCAACAATCACAAGAGACAACAGAAGAAAAAGCTAAAATAATATTAGGGTTCCAAGATCCTTCTCAAGGCAGAATTCATCCTTAGTCACTATTGATGGATTGTTCAATCTGACAAATTCAAGTGCAGCAAGAGCGTGGAAAATCGTTTCCCCTTGTAATGCTATATTATAAGTTGGTTCAGAAAATATACAAACTCTTTACCCATTACAAACAGAAATAACAACATGCCTCTTGACGCTCCAACAAGTTTCTACTCTTGGAATCACTAGAGTTTTTTTTTTAATGGTTACTAGAGTTAAAGTTCACGGGAATTGTGAATTTTTACCTACCAACCTTCGGGATCAACAAATTTCGTTAGAGATACAAGATGTAGTACCAACCGTAATTGCACTTATAGATACTTTTGAATACTGTGAACGGATTCAAGTTTGTAGATTGGATATTTCAGAAGTACATAATATTGCATACTATAGGGTGCAATGTAATAACTTAGGTCTTTTATCATAATATTAATACAGGTATCTTTATAAAACAAAAAAAACAAAAAAAAAAACTAATAACTTTGAATAGTAGGTGTAATGCAGGAAGAAAGGAAGTAGTAACCATAAAATAATGAAGAATAGACCACAAATTTCATTTATCTAAGCCATATTTCGCTTTCCTTATACTCCAAAAATTAATAAATAAATGAAAACTCAACGATCTTCACAACTCACAAGCAAGATCATTTTTAAACATTTGCCACTGACATTCCTATGAACTACATATAGTTGAAGTAGTTAATTCTACTATGCAGGTAGCAACGTCATTTTGGATACGGCTTCTTTTAATCAATAATTAGTTCATTTGAAATTTTCTTTGTCAAATATATTTTCTTATTCGACATATTATTATTATCTCACTATGGCAAAACTTTGGGCACAAGTTATATTACATCAGTGCATCAGTACATTACATCTCTACACTGCATATAATAGTTTTAAAGAAGTAAAGACTTGACATTTTTGTTATGTCTATACACAAAATTTCCTGATACAAATATGTAATGAATCCATTTTTGTGTGGTAAAATCTGATTTAAAGTAAACTAGTTGTACCACAGTTTCTCCTTTTACTTTTCGTTTTTATCCTTTTTGGAAAGACTTTAATTTATCACTTCCTCTTAATTTGAGCCAAGTTACTTATTTAATAATCCCTTCTCAAAAGTCTCAACTGGAAGAATTAGTCCTGTGAAATCCTTCCTAATAAACCCAATAAACTACCATGGACCCTGCTTCAGTCTACTCCGTCAATGTCACTGATTTCCGGAGTAATTCCGGCATGTCCATTGAGCTACTGATGAAAATCTCTATGTGGTTAATGCCCCTTGGGGTTTTCCTCTTAGCTGCTGCAACTGGGCCCATCTGGATACTTTGCGTCAAGAAGAAATTTGAGAAGAAGATGATGATGACGACTAGTCCGATCAATAAAGTTTCCGACGCAAAGTTTCGTTCTTGGGAGGCGATTGAACCGAACTATACTGATGGTATTGGATATTGATTGTTTTTCCCTCTTGCCCAATTAATAATCCCTTCTTGATTTTAGTTTTATTGTGTTTGCTTTGATGGAAGATGGGATTTTCTTATTGCATGTGAATACTGGCTTTAAAACATTTGAAGTTTATTCAGTTGTTGATTGAGTATTCTGGCAAGTGTTGGAGAATGGTGTTATAAGAGATGTTAGTTTTGAATTCGTAGGAAATTGCAGATTTTTTATAAGTCCTGTTGTTGGAACAAAATGAAGCTGATTTACCCAATTAGCTTACCTTTTGTGCTGAGATCAAAGATGGGATGGTATTTGAAGACGGCCAATTTTACCTCAATTTGAATCCCCAGTTGCTTAGGGTGATCTTATTTTGATGTATTCTGTAGGCCGAGTTCCTGAAAATGATAGCACTTGGTTTAATGAAGGCATCTTTACCTTATCACTGATCTTAAGCATTCCATGGAATAGATTTGAGTTGTATAATTGTGGAAAGCAATGGGTAAACATATAGCTATCGAAAAGTTTGGTTTAGCCTCCATCAGAAAATCCTTCTTATCTACTTCTACATTTGCATTCATCTTTCATGGTTTCTTCATTGAATGTTTGAGAGATTAGTCTTGTAAATTGCTTTGAAACTAAAGGCACTATCCGTGCCTGTCTGCTGCAGCCTGCGCTTTATAGCCTCAGTGCTTCATTCATAAAGAGCAACTTTAGACAATTGTTTCCTCTGTATCAACCTGAATTCATGTTGATTAACCTCGGACAACCATACACACACGAGTACATGAAATGGCTATCCTAATTCTTTGTTCTCCGTTAGACTGTTACTCTCAAGACAAGGCTCTGATTAATTTGACAGGAGAGGACCAGTAGAAAATAACCGGAAACATTCTTGTTTTATCTTATCTGCAAATCACTTTCTTGTCATTGTTATATTAAGGTCTTTCTAGCTCTGGGTGATAAACAAAAATTGTAATTTCATTTTTCAGATTACCAATACTCGTTGGAATTGCAAATTCAGGAAGTTATGCTGGCCTCTCTTTCCTCTCAAGTGACAAGTACTGCATCTTCATCTACACAAGCAAGAACAACATTCAACGCGGATAAGGGTAAGGTGAAGATTGAGGATGATGTAACCAGTCCATTACAAATCTCTTGTGAAATATGCATGGACGATAAAGAAGTTTGGGAGATGTTTGAAAATGATTGTTGCCGTCATTCATTTTGCAATGAATGCATAAGCCAGCACATAGCTGCAAAGATACAAGACAATTCAGATACGATTTGTTGTCCTGGAGCAGATTGCAGGGCTGCATTAGATTCTAGCACTTGTAGGTTTATAATCCCCACTGACGTGCTCGCTAAGTGGGATGAGTTCCTGTGCCGGTCGCTGATCCCCAACTCCCAAAAACTGTATTGCCCTTTCCGCGACTGCTCAGCCATGTTGGTTGATGATTCTGGGGACGTCATAAGAGAGACAATGTGTCCATTTTGCCATAGATCGTTTTGTGCTGTATGTCGGGTGCCATGGCATGTTGAATTCACGTGCAAGGAGTTCCAGAAGCTGAATGATAAAAAAGGAGGAAAAGATGAAAAGATGCTGAAGTTTCTAGCTAAGAAGAAAAGCTGGCAGAAATGTCCTAGCTGCAAAATACATGTAGAAAGAACTGAAGGCTGTTTGCATATGACTTGCCGGTGCAAGTATGAATTCTGCTACAGATGTGGATCAAAATGGAGCAGTTCTCATCGCTGCAAAAAATCATAGGCTGCCATAAAAATGCTGAAGAAGGATCTTCAGTTGTTCTTGTAAAATATGGTGCTGCTATTTTACTTAGAAATGATAGATGTATCTGCTTAGTTGCCCGAAACTTACTCCAAAGTTTAAACCCCATATTTCAGTATTTCACAATGCAATGTGGAAGATAAGACTGTATAGAGCTAAGTAGCTAGCTGATGGAAATTACTCCATCTATCCCAAAATTATTATCCACTTTAGATTTTCAAAGAGGATGAGTCAAGACTAAACAATACAGAACTATCATACACCAGTTGCCTTCTGCAGAACCATCTCAACTTGACTCATTTTTCGCTTTTTCATCACTTTTCATTTATTCTCTCTGCCCCGAAATTATTATCTAGTTACTCTTCAAATTATTGTCTATTTTAGATTTTTCAGTTTTAGTACAAATTGAACTAAAAGTGAAAATCTAAGTTGGATAATAATTTTGGGATAGAGAGTATAAAATTTTTATCTTTGCTAATTCAAATATATTTCTTCTTTTACATTCTCTATGCATGTTTTTTTTCTCTTTTGTTCTTACTGTTACTTGTAAATTTGTAATAACTCCAGCTAACGAAACAGCCCCTAGAACAAGCTTAGTTCTGCACTTCCCTATGAAAAGTCAATTCTGACCCAGTTAAAGAGACTTTAGACAGGCCCAATTATAATATTAGATTGGAATTAGAAATTGTAGGGACTGAATTGTAGTTTTTATATCTTGCTAGGCTATAAATAGTTGTGAAGAGTCTGTAAATGAATTATCGAAAATTATAATATCAGATTGGACTTTTTCCAATTCTCTCATCTTCTTCATTCTCCCCTAATTCGAACCCTAGAATTTCTCCGGCCTCCTTTCTATTTTTCCGATTCTGCCTTCCGGCCACCTCCCTGAGGCCCCCGGTCGTGACAGCTATGAAAAGCCAATTCTGACCCAGTTAAAGAGAGTTTAGACAGGCCCATTGGTGTTTGGGTCAGTTTAGCGGAAGATGGATCATTTTTAGTTCCGTTGACCTTCAGATTTCCATTTCGAATTTTATTTTCTTTGGTGTTGACTATTCCAAACAATCCAAGTGGTTAAAGAAGTCAGAAACAATCCTTCTGGTGACATTTTGCGGGGTTGACTATTCCAAACAATCCTTCTCTGGTGGAAATCATAATTAACTGTTGGAAATAGTTTGACCGCAGTAAGGATCACTAAATGTGACAATTGACATGTTTATGGACTTTTGGTGACATTTTGCTTTGGCGTGACTAACAATCCGAAACCCACTGTAATTTTCACGTGAACGACTTAGATATTTCAGTTAATAAAACAATAGCTATAAAGTTTCTCCAAAACTCGAATGGAAACACTTGCTAACGTACGTAAACTAATGTTAAGGGAATAGGACAACTTTTTTTCCCCCGGAATCAATGATCAAGAAATCACCTTTTTCCATTAATGAGAATAAAATGTCAATACTTTCACTTCACAAAAATTGATCCATTAGATACGAATACAATTAGAAGTACATAAAACAAAAAAACAAAATCATTTCCCTCATCATTTATTGTCCAAATGTGGAAATTTGAGTTGGCTAAAGGATTCAATATTTGGATAATATACTTGTTAATGTCAAGAAAGAAATTGGAATAACGTTGGAAACATCTTCTTTATTTATTTACTCTTTTCATAAATAAAAAATTTTCAACTACCCTTTTTTTTTGGCAAAAATAATGATTTTAAGATTTTTTTTTCGTTTAAAAAAAAAAAGTGTTCTCCGTAAAAGGAATGCATTGTGGATGAATTTTTTCAAGGGTTTTGAAGAAAAGAAAAATGATCAAAGGTTAAGAGAGTAAATAAATTTTCAAAATCTGCGAGTTAGGTTAGGGGATGCGGCTTAATGCAGCTGCATTTGACACTATTAGTGACCTACTTTAGCCTCTGAGTTTAAACTTTCAACAATGATTCCTTTTCTTTCTTGTAGTTTTCAGGGGAAGAAAAAGGGATTAGAACACTTTTAATATCCAGCCTCTTTAATTAGCATATTCCCTGGTCCATTTAGTCCACATTTGTTTGAGTTTTCTACCATCATATCGCTTGACGCTTGTAATTGTGTACACGGTTGGTGCGAAAATAAAGATTTTGTTGTTGTAATATTTTAATTCAACAAATTTTACTATTATTTTCAGTCCAACATAATATTTAAAGACTAACTCAAAACCTTTCATTGTAACAGTTGAAAATCAAGTACAAATAACTAAAACCAGTCATTCCTTAGTTATGAACTTGGTGGTTACTTGAATAAAGATGAAAACTCTAGATAGACAACATAAAATTCTCAAATGATTGTAGTTACAACGATTGAAATAAGATTAATCTGATTAATACGATGAGCGCTTTAAAATATCATTATTGATAAGAATATGTAATATGGCGGCCATCCAACTTGTTTTATTCACAGGGCCAAATCGGCCATATATAGATGTACAAACAGAAACCCTAAGTGTTAGGGTTTACTAGACAATGACTAATCTATCCCTGGAGATTATATACACACATATATATTCTATTACCCCTCCCCCCTCAAGTTGGAGTATGCGGGTTACAAATGCCCAACTTGGAAAGAAGAAACGCAAACTGACGGTGACCCAAGGCCTTAGTAAAAATGTCGGCTAACTGATTATGAGTGGAAACATAGCGAGGAGAAATAAGTCGCTGGGTAAAAGCATCACGCAGGAAATGACAATCCACCTCAATATACTTGGTACGCTCATGAAAAACAGGATTGGCCACCAGATGAAGAGCAGACTGGCTATCACAATAAAGCTGCACGGGCTGGGAATGACCAATACCAAGACTAAACAACAACGCCTTCAACCACTTCATCTCACAAACAGTAGAGGCCATAGCTCGATATTCAGCTTCAGCAGAGGAACGCGATACAACTTGCTGCTTCTTAGTTCTCCAAGAGATAGGAGAGGAGCCAAGAGTAACAAACCAGCCAGTAAGAGAGCGGCGAGATAGAGGACAACTAGCCCAATCAGAATCACACTAGCCGTACAACTGAAGATCGCTATCAGAATGAAGAAGAATCCCCTGGTCGGGAGTCGCCTTCAAATAGCGAACAACGCGAAGTGCCGCCTCCCAATGAGTCTGTCGTGGATGTTACATAAACTGAGCCAAAATATGAACAGAATAGGAAAGATCAGGGTGGGTAACCGCCAAGTAAATCAATCGACCAACGAATCGACGATAACGCTCAGGCTCAGCGAAAAATGGACAATCATCTAGTGGAAGGCGATGATTTTGCTCCATAGGAAATGCAATAGGTTTTCCACCCAATAACCCCACATCCGAAAGAATATCCAAGGTGTACTTCTGTTGACAGAGAAAAATTCCAGAGGCATTACGGGCAACCTCAAGGCCAAGAAAATACTTAAGCTTTCCGAGGTCCTTCATGTGAAAACAACAACTGAGATAGGCCTTGAAAGCAGAAATAGCAACAGAATCGTTCCCACCAATGACCAAATCATCTACATAAACCAAAATACTGAGAGTAACAGCACCACGATGAAAAATAATCAGCGAATAATCAGCAGAAGACTGAGTGAAACCTTAATCCTTCAAGGCACTAGCCAATTTGGCAAATCAGCAGCGGGGAGCTTGCTTGAGACCGTAGAGAGATCTCCGAAGACGACAAACCTGATGAGAAGTGCTAGAGTGAAAACCGGGAGGAAGCTTCATGTACACTTCTTCATCTAAGTAGCCATGAAGAAAGGCATTGTGGACATCCATCTGGTGTAACTCCCAATGCTTGGCAACAGCAACAGCCAAGAAAGTACGAACAGTAACCATTTTAACAACAGGTGCAAACGTCTCAGTATAATCAATACCCTCAACTTGATTGTTGCCAAGGATAACTAACCGGGCTTTATATCGCTCAACAGACCCATCAGCAAGATATTTAATTTTGAAAATCTATTTACAGCCAATGGCGCGTTTACCAGGAGGAAGGGAAGGAAGATCCCAAGTATGATTTTGTTCCAAAGCACGAATTTCAGCGTTCATAGCCGAGCGCCATTGAGCATCCTGCATAGCCTTGCAGTGATGGCTGCCAGAAAAACCCAATGATCGGATGAAAAAGAAGTACAGTTTACAAATTGTGTTATAGAATAAGAAGTACCTGAGGACGAAGACAAAGCTGGAGAAGCAGAAGGGGGGAAGCTGACAGTGTGGCGAGCATAACCATGAAGACGAGTAGATGGAAACTTAGTACGCATACCACGGCCCAAAGGTGGTGAAGAAGAGACTGAGGTAGATGGGTCTGAGGGCATGTCAGTAGTAGGAGAGATAGAAGATGCAGGAGGAACAGATGATGAAGACGGAACAACAACAGGCACAGGATCAGAAACACCAGAAATATCATCATCATCCACAGGAAAGACAGGCGGACCCGTATAAACCAAACTAGAGGAAGAATCTCTAGAATTTGAAGAGATAGTAGCATAAGGGAATTCAGATTCACAGAAAACCACATCCCGAGAAACCAAAAATTTTTGTTGCTCCATGTCAAAAACCAACCAACCCTTTTGAGTGGTAGGATAACCCACAAACACACACTTTCAACTCCTAGGTGCAAACTTATCGCCCCCCCTAGCTTGGTTATGCACATAACAGAGACAGCCAAAAACACGTAAGTGTTGAAAGGAGGGGGTGGTACCATATAACACTTCAAAAGGGGTCTTGCCATGCAAAACAGAAGAAGGAGTGCTATTAATCAAGTAAACAGCAGCCTTAACACAATTGCTCCAGAACTCAATGGGTAAACTAGCCTGAAACAGCACAGCACGCGCCACATTAAGAATATGGCGATACTTGCGCTCAACACAAACATTTTGTTGCGGAGTACAAACACAAGAAGTTTCATGCACAATTCCATATTGACGAAAATAGGTACACATAGACAGAAACTCAGTGCCGTTATCACTACGTACAGTTTTGACCGATTTTCCGAATTGTTGGTGAACCATAGCCAAAAATTCACACAAGCTATGAGAAACTGAGGATTTATCTTCTAACAAAGAAATCTAAGTAGTGCGAGAAAAATCATCAACGATAGTCAAGAAATATCTAGCACCACAAAAAGCAAGAACCCGATACGGGGCCCATAAATCACAATGTATCAGAGAAAATAAATCCTTACTTCAAGTACTACTGAGAGAAAAACTATCACGAGAATGTTTGGCGCGAAGACAGACATCGCATGTTTTATTTAAAGATGTAGTAATAATACTAATACTAGAATCAACCAGTGATAACTGCTGGAGAACCTTCGAGGAGGGATGACAAAACCGCTGATGCCACAACTCAGAAGAACTAGTAACCACAGCTCGAGCAACCATTGCAACAGATACTGCCCGGAAGAAATAAAGTCCCCCCAACTGCTCACCCGCTCCAATCAGTGTCCTCGTAGTGCAGTCCTGAATAACACAATATTTATTAGTAAACTGAGCAGTGCAACTACAGTCCTTCAACAGATGATACAATGAGATCAGATTGCATTTTAAACAAGGAACAAATAAACAATTTTGCAAAATCACAGAATCACTCAAATGCACCATGCCCGCCTTCGAAGCATATGTCAAAGTACCATCGGGTAACTGAACCGGACGAGGAGAAATATCCCGCACATCCGACAAAAACTGCACAAAACCTGTCATATGATGGGTTGCACCACAGTCATACATCCATGTATTGGAAATATGCTTACCAGAAAGAGGTTCAGCGAGCTTAGTTTTATGCAAAAGAGAGACAAGAGTCTACCACTGATCTGGAGTAAGACTGGAAGTTGCAGGTTTATCATTGTCCGTTAAAACCGAACCAGCAAACGGAGTGCCCGGGACCAAAACCGAGTTAACTTGTGTGGAAGCAGCTCCAGAACCGCGACTCTGAGTGGAGCCGCGACCAACCCCACTCGAACCAACACTAATTGAACCGGGAGCGCCAAAACCAGAAGCAACCCGATTGCTACGACCATGGCCAGAAGAAGACCGCCCCATAGACCGACCCGAACCAGCACGGTTCGTCCCCCACCACTCGGGATAGCCGATCAGGTCGAAACAACTAGACATAAGATGACCCGGCTTGTTACAATGGGAGCAAATCACTGATGAATCGACCTTTGAAGTCTCAGATTTATCAGGAACCCGAGACCGAGATGGCGGCCGAGAAGACTGAATAGCAAAGCTCAAAGCATCAGCAACCGGTTCCACCGATGGAGCAGAAGAAATAGATCGAAGACGTTCTTCTTGCACCAACAGAGAATAAGCACGATTGACCGATGGAAGAGGGTCTTGTGCCAGTAAATGAGAACGAACACTGCCATAAAGGGTACTATCCAAACCCATCATAAGTTGGTAAAGCTTTTCAACCTCTCGACGGCGCTCCGATTCAGTATAAACCTCAGTCGATCCACACAAACATTTCTGGAGCGGGTCATAAGCCGCGAGATCTTCCCACAACTGCTGGAGTTTACCATAATATGAAGCCATACTGAGCCCCTTTTGTGAACAAGTAGCAAGGTCCGTCTTCAGTTGTTAAATTCTAGGGCCGTTAACAACACCAAATCGGTCTCGCAGGTCATTCCAGAGAGAAGAGACGACTTCGCGATGAGGAATGGTGGAGCGAAGAGCAGGGTCAATGGAATTACGGAGCCACGAAACAATGGGGGAATTGTTTGTCCACCAGCCGTCCAAATCGGGAGAGTCGGCAGGCGGCTGAGGGATGGAACCATCCACAAATCCAAACTTTTTGCAGGCACGGAGAGCAGTACGTACGGCTTGACACCACTCGTCATAATTGGTGTGTTTCAGAACAACTTGGGTGATAACGGAGCCAGGATTATCACCGGACGTCAAGTCGTAGGGATCGATTGTTTTTCGATGAGAAGGCTCCATAACAGAAGTGCTGACAACAGTAGTAGCAGCAGGCGTGTCGGACGTGGACAAGGAAGTACCGGTTGTCATTGAAACAAAGCCGGCAGCAACACAGAGCACACAGAGATTGTAGGTGGCAGCAACACGAGGAACAAATCCGGCAGAAACAAAACCGGCAGCAACACGAGGAAGACGCACAGCAAGACGCACGCACGCACGCAACCGGAAGAAACTGCAACCGGCAGCCGGCAGAAACACCGCAACACAGGAAACGGCACACCGCAACACAGAGCACCAGCAGCAACACAGAGAACCAGCAGCTTGGACAAATATGGAGATGCCGAAAGATGAAGAACGAAAGCTTGGATGTGCGAAGCGGCACACAGGAAGACGCACGCAATCGGCAGCTCAAGTACAGACGGACGCACGCACACAGAAGCCGGGGGGAAGAAGACAAAACCAATTATAGACGGCAGCTCCCTCTCTTTCAGCCCACCGGAGAAGAAGAGAGTACAACTTGTTTCAGCCCACCAGACAAAACTGATCGGAGGAAAGGAAAATTACCGGTGACGGCAAGAGTTTTGGAAGCCTGATACCATGATAAGAACATGTAACATGGCGGCCATCCAACTTGTTTTATTCACAGGGCCAAATCGGCCATATATATACGTACAAACAGAAACCCTAAGTGTTAGGGTTTACTAGACAATGACTAATCTACCCCTGAAGATTATATACATACATATATATTTTATTAATTATACCTAGGAAATATTTCAAATATTGGGTAGACGAGCAAATAGAGGTGTGTAATAGTCTACATTTTTTGTAAAAGTGTATTCAAGGGGAACAACAAATGATGAAAACCACGAATCAGGAGGCACAATTTCACCAAAATGTCCACTTTGGCCCGAAATGAATATGACGGTTTAAGAACTGAGAAGTAAAATATGCAAAAACAAACTAGTACAAAGAATTAATTTGCCAGTTGCCAAGAAGTTGAAATTATGGTCTTTCCCAAAGTGCAAGATCAACTCATCCAAATATTATTCTTCTTTAAGGAGTGGGCATCTTTGCTTTTGCATCTCTCCATCGATGAGCAGGAGTTTTTGTTCGATATCCATATTTCTAATTGTTTATTTATGTTTTTTTTTTTTGGTACACCAGCACTCTCTATTTATGCTCTATTAGTAATGATATTAGCACCATGATGAATTACTTTTGTTGGACTAAAGTAACAATTTACAGGGTAACTATGGAATCCTCAATTTTCACTTTTTAAATTTAGTCGTGTCTTAATTTTTAGTAAAACCATCTAATTATTAGTCGTGTCTTATTAGTTTAAATCAAATTAAATATAATTTAAGTTTTTTTTTTTGAAGGGAAAATACAATTTAAGTTATTTATGTACTTTGAGAGTGAAAAACAACCTATACACACTATAAGTGAGATAGAGAAATGGATATTACTTGCGAGAGAAATTCAACAATTTTTCTTTTTCGTCTTACAATTTTTTGTTCATCTTTCCACCGGGATAATACCACGAACCGGAAGAATATTAATTGTGGAAGAATTAAACGTGGTGTTATCCCAAAATCCAAATATATATATATATATATATATATTCTTACTTGAGCTTATCCTCATCTTTTCTTCATTTTTATAAAAGTGAATGCAATCAAGAAATACGGAAATAGTATCGTACAAAAAAAATGCATACATGGAAAGTGTAGCTGACGAGGGAGGCAGCGCTCGAAAATGGACCCAATTCTAGGTCAACTTGGAATCTAGTAACTTCTTGAGTTCTTGTTTCCTTCTGACGCTTAAATTTTATATTCCCTTCGTCTCATAATTATTGTCCAATTTAGATTTTTATTTTTAATTTAATTTATATTAAACATGAAATCTCAAACTGGACAGTTAATTTGGGACAGAGGGAGTAATACATATATTTTAGATTTCGTAATTCAGAATGTTTTTGGCTGTTCTTATAAACTCCTACTTGGTAAGTCCGTTGGGAGGTCCATTGATCGATTCCTCAACCCGCGAGAAAAGTAAGTTCTTGAGATGGTGATTTTCTATAGACTCTTATCGTGGAATGAAGAGTTGGAAAGTTCGCTAACTCCCTAACTAGAAAGAGGTGATTTCCATTTAAGTTGCTAGTATAGCACCGCTCTTGATAAGGAGAAGATAAACATATTGACGCTTATCAGCACTCCTAATTAATCTCTTGCAACATTCATGAGAAATTTTGGATAGGAATTGGATATAGATTTTGAGTCACATAACACCAATTGCTCATATTGAGAGAAAGAAAGTGTTAGATAATTGCTCAAATTAAAAAAAGTTTGGCAAAAGCACCAACCCTTTAAAGCAAATGAAGAAATAAGGAAGACAAATTGACACAAATAAAGGTGGAGAGAAAAAGAAAAACAAAATCCCCAAAATAAACAACGGATGAATGGAATATGGGACCCAATTAATGTAAAGCCCCCCAAGTCCCAAACAAAGATATGGAGGTAAGCCACATATGTAATCATGATGAAAATAATAATTGTATAATTAATACTTACACATCAAGTTGAGAGCTTTCTATCCCAAGTTCTCAACCTTTTTAAAGTAAAATTGTGTACATTCCCTACTCATAGACATATATGGCACTCAGCTACATTGCATTGCATCTCAATTGAAAAGTTAAAATCACATAAAAAGTTTGATGATCATGCAGAAGAAACAAATTAAAGGATCAGATGCAATTTCATTTAAAAATCTCCGTCCCAAAATAATTGTAATATTTCCAATATGAGTGCTAGACAGTGTACCGTATAAAAGACAGTGTTCACTAATATTGATGCTGATTCTCTACAAGTGCTAGTTGAGGCATAAACACATAAAGCTTCTTTAGCAAAGATATGCAGTCTCCTCTCCTATCTCAGTCACAGGTACTAGCATAACTACTTCATCAAAGAACCTCCTTTTTTTTTCCATCTTCATCATAATGACTTGATCCTGTAGTTTACTTCTTATTTCTGCATCCAAAAACCCCATCATTCAAACTCACTTATAGAGCTCTTCACTCCCCTCTTCTCCTCTTCAGCAACAAACCATAATAGCCAAAAAACTCTAATTTTTTTTTATATCATTTTATATCTAAAAATATTTCTCATGGCTAATCATAGCATCCTTTGCCCTTTTCTGCTGCTACTTTTCTGCTATTGTTGTCAAGCAACAACAGCAGGAAATCAGTCTCAGTTTTTCGTCGAGATGAAGAAGTCCTTCACAGGGGATATGTTGTCTAATTGGGATGTTGCCAATGGATCCAATAGCTTTTGCAACTATGCTGGAGTTGGTTGTAACAGCCAGGGCTACATTGAGAAGATTGATATCTCTGGATGGTCGCTTTCCGGTCAGTTCCCTGAGGATGTTTGCCGGTATCTTCCTTTCTTGCGGATTCTTCGCGTTGATCATAACAATCTCCTGGGCAGATTTCCTAATGGTATCACCAACTGCTCTCTGTTAGAAGAGCTTAATATGAGCTTTGATCTTCTGGGAGGAACACTGCCTGATTTATCACCTCTTCAGTCCCTGAAATCACTGGACTTGTCATCAAACTTTTTCCAGGGAAAGTTTCCTTTGTCTTTCACAAACCTCACAAATCTTGAGTTCCTAAATTTCAATGAGAACGGGAAATTCGATCCATGGGAATTGCCTGAGAACATTTCCAGGCTAACAAAGCTTCGGGTCATCATCTTTTCGACGTGCAACGTGCAAGGCAAAATTCCAGCATCCATTGGAAATATGACATCCCTGGTTGATCTTGAACTGAGTGGGAATTACTTAACAGGTAAGCTTCCACCTGAGCTTGGAAATCTGAAGAATTTGCAACAGATTGAGCTATACTACAACGCACTCGAAGGCGAAATACCCGTGGAATTCGGCAACTTGACTGAGCTCAGAGACATAGATATGTCTGTTAACAAGCTCACAAAGCTTCCTGAATCTCTCTGCCGCCTTCCAAAACTTACTGCTTTGCAACTTTACAACAACAGCTTAACAGGGGAGATTCCTGCTGCCTTAGGGAACTCAACCACGTTGACTTTGTTGTCACTGTATGAGAATTTCTTGACAGGGAAAATCCCAGAAAATCTTGGAAGGTCAGCTCCTCTGGTAGGGTTCGACCTGTCTGAAAATCAGCTTTCTGGAGAACTTCCACCCTATGTATGCAATGGAGGTAAATTACTCTACTTTCTTGTGCTTGAAAATAAAATTTCAGGGCAAATCCCTGAAAGTTATTCCAGGTGTAGTTCAATTCTGCGGTTCAGGGTCAATTATAACCAACTGGAAGGGAGAATTCCTGATGGAGTTCTAGCCTTTCCCCATGCTTCAATCATTGATCTGAGCAACAACCGCCTGAATGGTTTGATTGCCAGAACGATTGGAAACGCGAAAAATTTGTCTGAACTCTTCTTGCAGAACAACAGGATTTCAGGTTTTCTGCCTGCTGAAATCTCTGGAGCTATTAATCTTGTCAAAATTGATCTCAGCAACAATCTCCTGTCCGGTCCAATTCCTCCAGAAATCGGTAACCTTAGACAGCTCAACTTGTTGCTCCTCCAACATAACAAGTTTAATTCTTCCATCCCTCAATCACTGTCTTCACTTCAGTTGCTCAATGTTCTTGATCTTTCCAACAACCTCTTAACAGGGAATATCCCTGGAAATCTCTCTGAACTCCTCCCAAATTCCATGAACTTCTCCAACAATTTGCTTTCTGGTCCTATTCCTCTTTCATTTGTTATGGGAGGTTTACTAGAAAGCTTTGCAGGCAACCCAGACCTTTGTGTTCCTCCCCATAAGAACACATCCACCACCAAATTTCCCCTTTGCTCCCGAGATTCCAACCGGAAAACAATAAACTGTCTTTGGGTAATTGGGTTATCAGTGGGTCTTGTTATAGTTGGAATTGTACTGTTTCTCAGGCGATGGTTAAGGAAAGATAGAGCAAGAACAGAGAATGATGATACGCTTTCATCCTCCTTCTGTTCATATGATGTTAAGAGCTTCCATCGCTTGAGTTTCGACCAACGCGAGATCATTGAGTCCATGATTGATAAGAATATAGTTGGATATGGAGGGTCAGGGACAGTTTACAAGATTGAGTTAAGCAATGGAGAATCTGTTGCAGTTAAAAAGCTGTGGAGTCGAAAAGCGAAAGATTTTGCCACTGATGATCAGCTGGTTTTAGATAAGGAACTGAAAAATGAGGTGGACACATTAGGTAGCATAAGGCACAAGAACATTGTGAAATTGTATTGCTACTTCTCTAGTTTGGATTGCAATCTGCTGGTTTATGAGTACATGCTAAATGGAAACCTTTGGGATGCACTTCATGGAGGAAAAGTCCTTCTGGATTGGCCTGCTAGGTATCAGATTGCTCTTGGAGTTGCTCAGGGTTTAGCTTATTTGCACCATGATTTGATGCCTCCAATCATACATAGAGACATCAAATCCACCAATATCTTATTGGACATCAACTATCAACCCAAAGTTGCAGATTTCGGGATCGCGAAAGTCTTGCAGGCAAGAGGAGGTAAAGACTCCACAACCACAGTCATTGCAGGAACTTATGGTTACTTAGCACCAGGTAACTTCAACACTTTGAAATAAAAACTGCTTAATTAAAATGACAACAATATCTGTGTCAATTAATCATTAGTACTGTCAGGTTATTATTGCGATTTTCGGCCTAATGCTTATTTTGATCTTATGGTACATTTTATAACAGAGTATGCATATTCTTCAAAGGCAACAACCAAATGTGATGTCTACAGCTTTGGAGTTGTACTAATGGAGCTGATAACCGGGAAAAAGCCGGTAGAGGCGGATTTTGGAGAGAACAAGAACATCATTTATTGGGTATCAACTAAAGTGGACACAAAAGAAGGAGCCTATGATGTTTTGGACAAGAAAATATCAGGATCATTCAAGGATGAGATGATCAAGGTGCTGAGAATCGCCATTGGTTGCACATGTAAGACCCCAGCGAGTCGGCCGAGCATGAATGAAGTTGTTCAGCTGCTGATCGAAGCTGATCCCTGCAGAAGATTCGGTTCTTGCAAGTCCTTCAACATCAAGACCAACAACAAAGTCGACACATTCAATATCACAAAGCCTAAAGAACAATGTCAATGATTTCGTGACTTCCCCCTGGAATCTGATCAAAGTGAGTGGGATTCCTCAATGTGGAAGTAGAATATAGAATCTAACTCTGATCAACTGGCTCCAAAGGAGAATCTGTAATTCTCAAATTTTTACTTTATTTTTCTTAGGTTTTTTTTTTTTTTTTTGGCATAAATGTAAACAAGAAAATGGGAGAAGACAGAAGAGCCAGCAAGAAAAAGTAGTATTAGACTAGTAGCTTTCTTCCTGTTTGTTTTTCTTTTTTTTTTCTTCCATATCTTTTTTGGCCTAGTGTAAGTATATATCAATATATATATAAATATGCTTTATAGTAACGCAGAGCATCTCTCCATACAACAATTATTCAATTGAATTGACCCACAAATTGCTTTAAAGAAATTCTTGTTGTTTTTTTCCTCTTTACTTCATGAGCTATCCAACTGAAAAGCTTTAGGAAATACTAATTCTTAAAAGGGACTTTCTTTTCTTTTATGCATGGAAGTGGGAATCCTCTGCTGATTCTTGAATTTAATATTAAATTGAGAGAATGATTTTGTTAATGGAGGGTCCTTGATTATCATCTCCATAATGCATCATCTTTGTTTTTTTCTCCAATTTTAGGTTAATAGGGGACACTAAGATTAAGCATTAAGCTATATAGCTAAGCTATTGTGTGATTAATTGATTGCTTTGAAAGAAAGCAGTTTTTTTTTACTACATGGAAAAAAAATAAAAAAGAAAAACAAGAGGTTAATTCACCGTACATTGTGTGCCAAATTTCTACGAACCTCCACTTATAAAAAAGCACAAATATTCTTTTTTACAAAAAACAAATGAAAAATAAAGGGATATTTTTTGAAGTAGACATCCTCCTATTCTATTCTTCATGTCATCTCATACAAAAAGGAAAAACAGCAACTTGATAAAAATTCATGACCGGAAGGGCATTATTTGAGATCTTTTTATGCAAGGTTATTTTCAAGAACCTAAAATGAGATAAAAAGATAAAGAGGCTTTCTTTTCTTTGTGAATTTATCTTATGCAAAAAAAAAAAAAAGTCTGCAAAGTTTGGACATACATGTATGATGAATTAAACAAAAAGAGAGGCAAAAGAAATGATGTACTCCCTCCGTCCAATAATTATTGTCCACTTTGCCCAAAAAATTTTGTCCCAAAATTATTGTCCAATTTGACTTTTTATGAATCAAGTTACACATTTGTCCTTAGTAAAAAACATTATCCATAAAATCTTAGTGGTTAAACAATTACTTATGTAGGGATATATCCGGTTGTTTAAGGTAAAATATAGTTAATTTTAACTAAAAATAAAATCTTTCATTTTAGTAAAACTGGACAATAATTATGGAACGGAAGGAGTATATTAATGCAAAGTCAATCTTTCTGGTTAACTTGTCTACTTGAGGTATACTAAACTATTTCCGAGCATAATATTATGTCATGGATCTTTAATCCCAAAATCACGCAAACATAAATAAACAAGTGACCATGTATGATATATACTAAATAAATTAGTAATAATGTAGTAAATAAAATGTAGATCCAATCCACGTGTGACTGAAATTCAACTTTGTTTAAGTGGGCAAGAGGGGTCCTTTATTAAGAATATAACCGAATAAGATTCAAGAAGACAGAAATGCATCTCTTTATTTTACATGGTGGAGACACCATAAACTTAAAGCAAAGAACCACTAAGAAACAGAATAGTTCTCCCAAGCACCAAAATAACATTATTATGGGACTACACCAAATGCACATGAAATTTGATGGACATGCAAATGTAATTTTCCTGTGTGCACTATTAAAAAACATAAATTCGGTTACATCCCGTATTTGATTTCATCTTTTCAATTCCAAAAAAAAAAAAGAAAAGAAGAAGAAGCGTTTTCTTTTCGGTGTTAGAATGTAAATAATACTTAATTATCATGTATCACATTCACATTAATCTCTACTTCACGGATTTTTTTCCTTCTAGTCTAGAATTATAATTCTTCTCGAGACATGTTTAAGGGAAAATCAAACTCCTTACCATTTGGTTTAGACTTTTTCATTCTTTATATATTTTTCTCTACGGCACCAATGAGAAAGATCAAGAATAAATAGTCAATGATATAATCAGGAGGGAGAAAATGGCAAACGAATTGGAATACCAAAAAATGTATGGTAATTATTACACACTAGCAAGTCATAACTTATATTTTAATTGAAAAATCCATGAAAATGGGGTGCCAGTTTCTGTTCGTGAACTCACTTTAGAGGGTAGGAGAACATTTTTCTTTCTTGAATTTTTCTAATCTAAGCTAAGGTACCTTTACATAATGAGCATTCAGATAGTGATTATATAAAATCAGTAGTATTAGGACATGTGTCAATATCTACTGCTAATTAAATAAATCTGGATTTCATTTTGTCTTAAACTAAAGTAGTGATTTGAAGTAAGAGTACTGCAACGTCTAGTAGTGAAAAATTACAGTGATTATTTTTCAAATTTCTATTATGATATCTTAATCACTAGTTATGTATATTTCTTTTCTTTTTGATTCAGTTTTATTGACTGCCAATTTGGCTGGCATATAATTGATTGAAGGGTGAAAGTTATTATTAGATCAATCCATGACCTAACACATTATAAATCTTAAAATGTATCGGACTTATATTGTTATTACCAGAAAATGATTGATTGATCTGGCACATAGCAAATTGGAAGAACTTGCATATTGACCTCATAATTACCCGCGAAATAGTTTTGAAGAACATAAACCTTTGTGCGTAACTCTTAATTCTCTCATATTATTAGTTAGAGATGATTGAGCCACAAATACGTACTATGTAAAAAGTCATGTCCTATATATAAGATCTAAATCTAGAATTACTTAATGGTTTAGGTTTAGCATTTCCAGCACTCAAATATCATCCAGAATCTCCGAGTGCCAAATATCTCTTAAATTGGTTTTTTATTTTATTAAAGTTGTAAAGTTATAGAATTTTCAGAATTGTCATAAAGTATCATTAATTTTGAAAAGCAAACTCTATCGAACGGGGATCTGAGTGTTGGGCTACCAAATATGAAAATTAACAAAAAAAAATGTGAGTAGCGGAAATGAGAATTCTAAAATGAATGTCTGAGCACACTATGTTAGATAAAATTAGAAACGAATACATTAGACATAAGGTAGAGGTAGCTCTGGTAGATGAGAACATGAGAGAAATTCGTTTAAGGTGATTTGGGCATGTGCATAAGAGACCGGTGGAGACCTCGGTTAAGAAGGTAAAAACTATAGAATCAAGAACTCAAATTAAGAGGGGGGTAAGGGTAGACCGAAGAAAATTTGGAAAAAGAAACTATAAAAAATAATTTGAAATATTTAAATTTGAAGAATGATTTATGTAATGATTGAGTATGATGGTGACATATAATCTAAGCTGACCCCACTTAGTTCGAAAAAGGTTTGTTGTTGTTGTTTTTTTTTTTTGGGATAGGTAAATCATTTTGTTCTAGTATAGTAAAGTTGTTTTTGTAAAAGAGAATTTTCTTTTATGGAATGAGATATTATATCCAAGGTAGCAAGATGGGCTGATTAAAGACATTATCATGCACTGCCCAACATAACTGAATTCAGGGCCTAAATAGACAAAGCCCAGAAATCTGGACCACCCTAAATAAAAAGTGACAAAAGTTAAAGCCCGTGATAATTTGTCTTCATCTGCTATCACTCCATTTCTTTCTTGTTTTCTCTTTTTTCCTTTTCTCTTCCCCCTTTCATAAAATATGGTGTACACCATTGTTACAATCGACAAATAAAATTGTTAATCAAAGGGTTTAATACTAGTTCATATCCACGGCAAAGTTTGAATAACTGACTTTTAATTATAATGAATGAGTTTATTTCACTCAACCAGGATGCAACTCCTTTGACTATCGATCTCTCTGTATATTATTTTTATTAATGAATCCGAACGAAAAAGAAGGACGAACTAAAACTCCGAACAAGCTCAAATTTATTGCTAAATGTATCTCCTAACTCTCTCGATTTAAAAATGTAAGTCACGTTAGTCTCTGCACGTAAACTGAGGAGACAATTATTTAATAATTAATTTGTATGTTAAATATCTATTTTATCTATTATTAATTGTTTTGGAATTGTAACCAACACTAGATGAAAAATGGTTAGCATCATCTATTAGGAAGCAAAGTTAAAAAGTTAATTTTTAAGTTGCCTTGAAATTCTAAAAATCTACATTTTGAAATAATTCTCCAAACCTAAAACGACTTAAATTTTAAAATGCAGAGAGTATAACCCTTCGATTAAATTGCTTACAACAAATGTCACCGTTAGTTATAGCAATAAATTGAAAATTAATCATCTAGAAACTTACAAACTATAAGTAATTTTTTTAGTGCTCGAAAGTCGACAACCTGTATTTTTAAATTGAACTCTTAGGGATTTGCACCGTCATTAAGTTGACGACATTGGGATTCATTTCACGGAAACTTCTTCTCCTCAAATCCCAATAATAATTGGCCTTAATTATTCGGTGCAACCCGACGTATCCACCGTTTCTTAACAATATTTTAATTTCAGTGGCCTTCCGCTATAATTGCAACACTTCACAAAACACAATTATCATTGTCATATTCTCTATTTTGTCTAATATTGACTTTTTTTAGGGGGGAAAAAAGAAAACAATTCCATTATGTTAAAGATAATCATTAGGAGTGTGAGATAATGAAGTCATGACAATTATTTTTAGTGATAATTTTCATTTAATAATTGATATATTTGATTAATTGATTATCAAAAGTAGTAATTATCAAGAGCAGTAATTATCAAATAGTTCATACATATCTATAAATATAGCATCTAGTCTCTATCTTGTAATCGGTCAGTCAACTACAATGTAGTTTTTAAAAATTATCATGTTCAATTTTTCTCTTTTATTTATGTTCTTCGATTTCTTATTTTCTTCTCATTATTCCCTTATTTTTAACTTGTGTGTAGTGTGTACACATAAAAAAATATTGAGTTCACAAGATTTTTACTTCTTATAAGATTCTTATTTTGCGTAAGAGAATAGTACCGTTTTAAATCATAAATAAAGATTTATTCTTTGAATCGTAATGTTATGTTTAGAGTTTAGTTTAGATTTAAACCAAAGTAATGCTAGGAATTAACTATACAATCACCTAAACAGATAGGTCAATGGTTTGTCTTAGTGGTATTCAATTCCATTCAAAAAGCCATTTTTGTCAGCCGTTTGGGAACCAAAGCTGTCTGTGCGTCTTTGTCGAAATTTTGGTGGATTGAGCGAACAATATAATGTTGTCATCTACTACTATCTTAGCGCCGGTCAGTCAGTCAACAGCAGCTAGACTCTATACATTTGTTTGATATTTGGAGCCTATAAATGCAACATTACAAACAGCTAGCTGTTTTTCAATTCAATTCATTTCAATCTATATGGTGTATAAATTGTCCGTAACTCATGGCGGCTGGCTGGTTGGCTTCCTGGCAAAACCATAATTTACTACTCCTAAACCAACCCACAGACGTATGTATTAAATGTTACTATATCTTCTTTATCTCTATCTACTTTCCATCAGTTCAAATCAAATCTCTTAAAAGTTTTCGGCATGAAACTGGTTAATCTTGGCATGGAGGCTGACTGGCAGAGGAAAGAGTTATCTGTGGCTTTACCATTTGTGCAGATGACTACTAGCAACATATAAAGCTAGCATTTCCAAACAAATACACATTTTTATATTTTTCCAACAATGGCACAATAAAAATATTCTTTCCATTCCAAAAAATTGATCATGTCTATTGTAATATATTATTATTATTCTAATAAATTGGAGTATTTTTCGAGACAGAGAATAGTAGAGCGGATTACACCTAATATAGGCGACATATAAATTGAGTGGTTGCTAGATTCAAAGTTAATCTGGTTCTTCTTAACCTACTGGTCAAAAATGATTTAGAACTCATTAAAATCAATGTACAAAATGTGATTGTATCTTTAATGAGATTAATTAAATATATGCTTTACTTGCACATTTTTGTTAGGCTTTGGATGCATTCAATCATTTGATAATTGTGGTACATTTTTTCTTGTGGACTACAGATGATAGTACTACTAGAGTCTACATACAGGTTGCAAGTCTTGGTCATTTGTTAGATAGCAAGCTGTATATCATAATTATCCGATCCTACTTTCCTAATCATAATTTAATGACAAGTATTAGTAGGTTGTTAAGTAGTAGTATACTTAGTATATCTAACATGTCAAGACACATGAGAACTCGAATTGACAGAAATAATTTGAGCCAAATTTAATTCGGTCATCTGGAATGGAATCAATCAACAACAATCTCAGCAAGACAGCAACCAGCATAACATGCCTTTGTTTTCTTTAATTCAAACAATCAAGAAGATATTCCCAAACCGTGGGGTTGTTGATTTGTTATCCAACGTACCGACGTGTTGCTGATCCTAGATGACGACATCCTGCAAATTAATAAAATATTTGATAACCAACTTTAAAACAGATACATAACATACGACACGCATACTAATCTCTTCTTCTGATAACATCTTGAAAGATCCTATTCTTTTTGAAAATGTAGTTTTTTCATCCACATACGCGTAGGTCAACAAGTGTCGATGTTTGAGAAGACATCTTAAGAGATGAATGTTTGTTTTTTTTTTTTTAGTCAGTTTACGTTTGGTATCCAATGACAATCGCATGTTGTTGTTGTTGTAGTACAAAAGTATACTACTATTAATTATCAAACAATTGACAAATGGTACTGTTTTTTTTTTGTTTTTAAGGTCATTCTCTCTGGAAAACGACTTGAGAAAGCAGGAGTATTTCGCTTTCCAAATCTGAAATCACCATTGAATATTTTGATGTGATGATATCAGTACTGACAGGCTTAACTGAATGGATATAACATTTACAACAAATTTTTACACACCTTCTTTTTCTTCTTTATTTCCTTCAAATCGTTACACATTGGCCGATCTCTAGAAATTTGAATAATAATGACTCTTTTGTGGTTGCACGTTTCAGAATATGCACAAATCAATGTAAAGAATTTAATAAAATCTCTCTGCAATTAATTACCAAAAGTACGTAGCTTCTGACTTCCATTCATCGCAGTTGTTAGTTGAGACAGAGACTTTTTAACCTTCTTTTATCAATCCCGTTTCTGTTTCTATCCGGGTGGTAGGTGGTGCAACCACTAAACTTGGAAGTAAATTCAATTATTGAACTATATAATAAATTTTTAAAATAATTGTAAAGATGATCACTTGATGTAGTAGTAAAAACTTCATAAATGATAAACTGAAGTAGTGAATATAAATGCTCTAAAGAAAGAAAGAGAAAAAAAAGAGGAAAAACACTTCTTTTTTTTTTTGGTTACTAATAAATTAGCGAGAGATTTTAGAGTATCGTGATTGTATGGTTTAATCACTAATCAAAATTAAGGAATCATACTAATTTTTCTATATATAAAAGGAGCTCTTGGGTAGCTTCAGACAGGTCAAAGAAGAGCCTAAAAAAGCATATGAACTTTCAGCATAAATTTTGAATGAAAAAATGCAGCTTTAATTTGAGTGTCTTGTTGGATATACATTACATCATCTTCTTTCTGCATACTTTGACTTTCTCTTGTTCACATTACCTAGGCATTTTAATCCCCAACGACATAAAAGGACAGAAAAATGACCATCAATTTGTTACTAATAATAAACAAAAGCAATAATGTAATCTTAATATAAATCCTTTGACCCGTTACTTAAGAATTGAGTGAGCATATCAATATGTACTTTCCTTCATGTTATTACCAATAATAATCCAAGAACATTTTTTTTTTTTTTTTTTTACAAATCCTACTTCTCAATAAAAAATAAAAGCATTTTTTGCTCATTGGAAAAGTTTAATAAGGGAAAAATGCGACGTTTATTTCATGACGAAACAAGTAAAATTGAAGTATGTAAATTTAATCCCTCTCAATGTAGGATATTCAATGTATATCTAACTACTCCAATAAGGTGCAATCGTTTGGACATTTATATAGAAAGTCACCATTCACTTAAGCTAATAACTCTTCGTGTATAGTGCATCTAATGTCGAATGGTCCAAATCTATGAATTATTTTCACCTAATCTTTGAATTGCTGCTAAAGATCAAGGCAAACATTTTTCTACGCTTACGGAAACAAAAACATTGAAAACCAGTTTTTTTTTTTTTCTTTTGAAAAGGTTGAGAATGCGTGGCCATTTAGGGCATTAATGTGTCTGAATGATTCTAGTAAACAACAATATCCGAAACACAATATATGAAACAATTATTAAAACACGTGAGAACATAACTTTGAAATGTTTGTCCTACTAACTCATGATGATTCTTGGACAAACTTACACACCAAAAATTACACACACAAATGCTGCTTTTGTTGGTTCAGAAGGCACATTAAATTGCAACTTTAGTCAAACCTTGCTGCTAATGTGCACTAATTGTCGTTTTTACATAACCATTAGTACTACCATAACAAGAGTTAAATTTACTAGTAATCTCTGCAGACTACACATAACAAAGAGAGAGAGACCATCATTAGTCCAAACCTTATAGGATCAAAATTTCTAACTCAATCTGAATTAGTATTAGTTAAACACACTTTTCTATACGAACATTTTGAATTATCAAGTCAATTTCATGTTATGTATTTTATATAATTAATAATTTTTTTAAAAACAAAAATTAAACAAAAAAACTCATATCGAATTAATCGTATCGTGTTAGATTATCTCTAAAAATCGTATTGTCATGTCAGGAATTGACACATGAATATTCCTACCATTCAAAGTTCACCAAACTACATTGTGGGAACTTGGTAAGCCGTGTACATTTTGAATATGTTTAAGTGCGTGCTTTCATTAAAGTTGTGAAAACTAATGACTGAACTCATTTAATATAAATTATTATTACTCCTATATAAATAATCTCAGGGGTCAGTGCCGTATTTAAAAGGGCAAAACAAGAAAGAAGGCTAGGAGTCTAGGAGTAGTAGTAATAGCCCCTTTAGCCTACATTTTGTTACGTAAGAGTCTAACCAAAAGATGTAAACAGAAAAGTGGAATTGAAAATAGCCTCTTACCGGCCTCTTTAAACATTTTTCTCTCTTTCCAAATTCCCAAATCCAAAAAAAATTTCAGGCCCAAAAACCGAAACTGAAACGATTCATTCTCATCCTTCATCTCCCTCTCACCTTCCCACAAACACACCACATTTTTTTCTTTCTTAAACCCAAAATCCAACCAAGAAAACAATGAAAAAGTCTCTCTAAAACCTCCCAATTGGTAAAGCACACATTTTTTTGTGGGTTTGAGTAATAGCCTGAAACGGAAGGAGGAAAGGAGAAAAAGGGTCTTTTTTTTTTTATTTTCTCCATCATTGTTCTGTTTTTTACTTTTTAGAGGGAAAATGGGGATTTTGGAGGTGCAGCTGTTGAATGATTGTTGGGATTCTGGGGAAGTTTCATCAGTTGTTGTTGCTGCTGCAACTGGAGGCATTGCCAGAAGGCCGGGCTTCAATGGTGGTTTGATGTGCAAAGAAATGGCGGAGCTTGTGGAGAAAGAGGTATCATCATCTGACCAAGACTTTGTAAATCCGAGGTTGTTTTTGGGTTTTGACAGAGGAGAGGTTGCAATGTAGTACTGTTTCTCTCCCACTTCTTCTTCTCTTTTGGGATGTTAAAATGGCAGACAGGATGGAGCCAGGCATAATTTACATTAATATATATAACTTATAAGGAAAAAAAGAACTCTTTTTTTTTAAAACAAAATATTTATATAGACCGACCCTTTTCTGGAAATTATGTTCTTTTCTTTTTTTGGTTTCGTTAACCCAAGGAAGAATCGTTGTTTACACCCTTTTGTTAATTCTTTTGGGGTCTTGGAGGAGGTGAGGAAAAAAAAAATGATTCGTCATCAAGCCTGGTAATGCAGATTGCAGAATGAGTTCAGGGAGTTGTGGAAAACGGTATACATGCACCCGTTTGTAAGATGTATGCGTTTTGGAAAAAAAGATTTGTACCTGAGCAGCAATTTTGATATTAAGAATGATGATGATTTTATCTAGGCCTTTTTCCCCCATTTCTGTTTTTTTTTTTGTTTTTGTTTTTGTTTTGTTTTCCTGCTGGTGAATGTCATTTTCTTCGGTTTGATGTTGTTCTCTGTAATCATGTGGTCGATTTTGTTTTCTTCCTTTCTCTTTCTATATGTTGCTATTATCATTATTATTTTGGTTTTTCGCTTTTGTTTCCTCTTGTGTTATTTTGACTTACCAATCAGGAGTGTGACTCGGTTCTGAAAATTTTAACCTATTAGTCAGACTTTGATACTGACTTTTGCTTGCGGTGTATGGTTATTTCATTACATTCTGATTTAGCTTATGCATTTTTGGGAGAAGTACATTGAATGATGTAGTTGGAAAGGAAACAATTGATTCCATGCTTCTTTTGTAGACCTATCAAAAACCAACTGGTCGCTTAACTAATCTGATTCTCTACCTAACTGCTATTGGATGACTCTTGAGTATAGGTTTCTTAATCCCTTTTTAACTTGAAATGGAAATGTTTCATTGGTTCGGTTGCATTTCAAGCATTGGGTAGTTCCTGGTATTGTTCTTGGACTTCTGAGTTCTCGTGCAACCACCCATTTCTATCAACCTCCCTTTTCTAGATAATTCACTTTTGTTCTGTGTTTCCATATTGACCAAAACTTTAAAGTTCTGATGAAAATGGATCCAAAGATAAGGCGTGACGAGTCTTGTTCATACTCAATTTCTAGCTGCGCAGGATGTTAAGTTTATGACATTTTGTTATTGAAATTTGTCTGTTTTCCACTAATCAGTTGTATATTTTCTTTTTCTTGTGTTGTGTATAAGATGTCATTAATCTGGTACTTTTCCAGATATCAACTAAAAAATTGCAAACGTACTGCTTGCTCTGCATCATTTGGGGTTTCCACTTTGTTTTATTTCTCAGCTTAAGTGGACTACATATAATGATAATCCTTTTCCCTCCAGTAGTTGGTTCAAAATATCATCCCTTTTTTAAATTTTGATACTTGTGGATGTCTGTAGAATTTCGATCATGGTTTCATGCGGGTGTAGTTTACTACCTCAAGGAACACTGTCTGTGAGTTTGTGCTTTTGCAAACCTCTGCATTTTGTAAAAGTTGTCTTTTAAAATCATGGTTGTGCTTTTCCTTTCAAATTTGTGCCCTGATGATTATTTTTTATGTCATCTGTATCCAGGAGTCTTTGTGTTAGTGTTTCCCTTTCCTTAAATCATCACAGATTCACAATCCTGTCCTCTGCTGAATGTTCTGGAATTGTCACTTAAACCCTTGAAAATAGTGAGCATTTTGCCCCCTCCTCATCGGTGATGAATGTTATGCCAAGTCCCAAGTAGTTTTTGTTGTTGGCTAAAGTATTTTTTGAGCAAAATTTTAGTCACAATGTGCCCTCTTTTGGCCATAAGGCAATCATGATGTTGTTTATGGAAATTTTTATCTAGTCAACCAATAGCCTATTGGATATAATAGAGCATCCTGATTTAGTAGGATCTTGTTAGTTCTGTTTCCTTTTTGGTCAGCAATGGCATTTATGGTAGCTGTTAATGTTATTTCCTTATACGTAACCCTTGTGTATGAAAATGGCAAACCTCACCAAATATGTCTAGTATATAACATCAAGCAAGTGCTTTAGATTGCATTAGACTTTCTCATTTCTTCAATGGCACTCGTGAAACGTCTTGGTGGTGAGATATAACCTACTCCCTCCATTCCAAAATAAGTGTCATCTTACACTTTGCACGCAGTTTAAGAAACTCTTAAATATGATAATAAAATTACTTGAAATCCTCAACTAACCCCATTATAAAATTGTCCACCAATAGCATCAACTCTTTTGAGGGTAATTTTGGAAACTTTTGACAAAAAGTGCATTGAAATGTGAGAACGACACTTATTTTGGAATTTCTCCATTTTGCTAAAACGACACTTATTTTGGAATGAGGGAGTATATCATACATGTGATAAGAAACCTAAAACAGGGGTTTGGTCCATTGATATACCACAATAATTAAGCCATTCTAGTAGGAGAGCTGGATTGATCATATCACTAGTGATAGATTGTGTGATGTTCTATCCTGAAAATTATGTTGTTTCCTTTTGGAATTCTGTTGTATTTGCTTCCGGTTATGTTAGCCATTTTGAGTAGGTCTGGTGAGTCCATTTGCCTTGTGTTATCAAGTAGCTGAGTGTGATTGGATCATGAGAACCATCGTTTTTCTTCCTCTTTGTCTGCATTTGTTCCTGACTGATTCTTGCATCCTAAACGCCAAGAAACTGTTTGCCTTTGTGTTCAAATACCGCTGCTGAAAACTAGTATTTTACTTGAATGAACTAATTAGAATCTCAACAATTTGGTGTTTTTATTGATGTTACTATAACCTAAAATGAAAGCTTACACAGCAATGTTGCATTTGAAATATCTTTAATTGTCGGATTTCATTGTCATATGCACCTAGTGACCATACATTTGCTGTAGTCCTTTATTATATTGTTGTTCCAAAATTGACAAGCAATTAATAACAGCAGAAACAAAATCTCACAAACTCTAATTAAGTGTAGCATCACAAGGAAACTTTAAAGAATGCTTGCTTCCTAATTCATGTTCCTCATGTCTCTTACTTGTATTTGAGTTAATTATATAAACCTAAGGTTTGTGGTTGAATGTAGCTACTGTGATGGAGACATGACTTATTTCTGTGGTGAAGAACTACTTTCATATCTACCTTCTATCCTTGTCATGGTGGCAAATGAAAGCTACCATAGAAGAAGTTAGCTATTTTGGTTTCTTATGAATCATGTATTTCTGACTTGTACTCAGGTGATTTGATATGGCACATTCATGTTTCAAACTTTGAATAGTAAACTGAAAGTTCTCTGAAATTTGAAGGGTACTTGATCAGTGATCTGTTGTATTTTTTTGACTGCTCTCTAACATGGGATGTTTATCTTGGAAAAGCATTAGGTGGTCCCTGTTAAGGGAGGGGGCTTTTAATCAGCAAAGTTGATACACTCTGGTTCTATTTAGTTTAAATATGTGCCTTATAAATAGGTCCGAAGGGGTAGTGTTATAGCATTATGAGTAGCATATCGTTTGCAAATTTGATCAACAATACCTATTGATTTCTGGTATCTTGAAATGCATGTAACAGTAGAGAAGTCCCTTAAAAGAGCTATCTTTGACGCTTTGAACAACATTGAATTTTAGGTCTTGCTTGGCTTTATATGGCTTTTTGGTACTTAACTTCTATTGTTTGAACATCTCGTGGAGCCTTCTTTAGTCCTTTTCATATTTCCCTTTTTTTTTTTGGTGGAGACAAATTGATTAGGTAATCATCATTCCTGTAACAATGTAAACCCACAAGGGTGACCTAATAAGATTTTTAACTAATAAATGAACTCAATATCATATGATGTTCGAAAAGCCGATTACCAATAAGGAGAAAACCAAAAATTCAAATTTCCTTGAATTCTTTAGAACGGAAGTGTGATGATGAGCGTTAGAAGAACAGACCTGCTTGATTTAACAAGTGAGGCAGGACAGATTTTAACGTTCTTGGTTGACACAGCAGCTGAGGCCATAATAATCTCTTCCAGAGTACAGAACATGATACTATCCTCCCAATACCTTGACCCTGCAGGAAGCAGACGTGAATGCCTGCAGCCACAAAGCTCTACAGAGAATGCATCTCTGATTCTGATAGGTTTATTTGACCCTCTATTCCACATTCTCCCAAACTATCATCATTCTTAACAGTCTAACACCATTTGAAATCATCATTCTTAACAGTCTACTACCAAAAAAAAAAAAAAAAAAGTGGTTAAATGGATATGCCTTTCAAAAAAAATTTCCATTTGTGATGGCTTCAAATAATACGCAGCGGAATTTTTTCCGATTTGTTTAGTGTACTTTACTCTAAATATTGAACTTGGGATAAGTTTAGGAAAAGCCCAAAGTTCTTTTGTGCAGAAAGGAGGTAACGTGGAATGAGATATTTCTTCAAGGTCCAAAATGCTGAAATCATAATCAGTTCTTTTAAAAAAAGGCCCAACTACTGTTATTGTATTTGGTCCAAATCCAGTTAATTACTAATGTCCTGAAAATATCCTCATCATCAGGCCATAAAGTTGGTAACCGGAGGCCCGCCGGAGGGCTGACAATGACGATTCGCCCCACCGGTCACTCCGGTCACCGATGAAGCTCGCAATTGCATGTGCATTTCGGTCATCAATAGACAAATTACGTGACCCCCCTGATTGTTACGCCTTACCCTCCACAAAGATAAACGTCATAAACCATAAAAAAAAATCTTCCATTATAATCCCAACTAGTCATATTTGTCAACATCACTCTTATCTTCTTCTTTCCTTTTTTTTTTTTTTTGCGTGATTTGGTGTTTGTCTTGTATAGTTTACACAGCGCCTAGCATTACGGTAGTAAATTAATCTAGAACGGACGTTCTTATATTAACTACCTAAATTTACATATCCTTCACTTTAACAATCCATCTTGAAGGATAGTGCACCAAATTGCTTGGTTTGATTAGTTGGAATGAACAGTTTAATCTCTTTGAAATTATTCGGTTCCAAAAAAGAGTCATGTATAGCAACCTAGGTGTATTAAACTACCTAAATTTAGATAGGGTTCACTTTAACAATCCATCTTGAAGGATAAGTTACCAAATTGATTGGTTTGATAAGTTGGAATGAACAGTTTGATCTTTTTAATAATATTTCTTTCCGTCCCAAAACAAGAGTAATGTGTAACGAGCTAAATATTATCTCCTTGCACGTTATTCCTCTCACTTTCAAACACTTCTTTGTTCAGTCAACAAGTCCAACTTACTGCCATGCCGACACTAGAAATTAAACTAGAATTAGCGCGGGTAAACACATCAAAAAAATCTTAAAGAAAAAAAACCCGTATAATAATTGTGATGGGATTTCCATGAGCAATTGGGGCATGAATCATCTTATTAGCTGGCAATTGTGTCACAGTAACAGTGTATCTCCCCTCTCCATTGCAATCAATCTTACTACTTTGGAAGATATTTTCATTCATTTCAATCTCTCTCCCTTTTTTTTTTTTTTTTATAAATAATTAAACATGGCAGGGAATTCGTGCATCATCCCACACACCAAAAACCCCGTGAATAGGCGTCTTAATAAACGCCCATTCCGATTTTTTATCTCTTTATTATTATTTCATCCGCTTCTAAACTTTGCTTTGATCTTCGTTTGAAAATTCTTTTTCTAAGTAATACAACTCAGAATGAGGGAATGCATTTCAGTTCACATTGGTCAGGCCGGAATTCAGGTCGGAAATGCCTGCTGGGAACTTTACTGCCTTGAGCACGGAATTCAGGTACCCTGTCTTCTTGTTTTTCAGTTCAACTTTTTTTCCCCTTTTCTTCCCTGATTTTGCTTATGTAAATTACATATCCAAATGGGTTTTAAATAATTCTGTGATTTCATGTATTGGTTCACATTTTTTGGCATGACTGTGACATTGACTTGCTCTGTTTTTGCTCTGTGCTTGAGCTGAAAATTTAGTTCTTCAGTTCAATTTCATTCTTTCAATTGTTAGGACTCAATGGATTTTAACTGATTTATAGTTTTTGGGTAATTAATATGGTAGCCTGATGGGCAAATGCCAAGTGACAAGACGGTGGGAGGAGGAGATGACGCATTCAACACCTTCTTCAGTGAAACAGGAGCAGGGAAACATGTCCCTCGTGCTGTTTTTGTGGATCTTGAACCCACTGTCATTGATGAAGTCCGGACTGGAACTTATCGCCAGCTCTTCCATCCTGAACAACTCATCAATGGCAAGGAAGATGCTGCCAACAATTTCGCCCGTGGCCATTATACCAGTAATTAATTAATTAGCCCTGAAATTTCCAGTTTCTCCTGATTCCAATTTCCTTGGATTTTCTTACTAACTGTTTTGCCAATCTTGATTGTAGTTGGGAAAGAAATTGTTGATCTCTGCTTGGACCGGATTCGGAAGCTTGCTGATAACTGTACTGGTCTTCAAGGCTTCCTAGTCTTCAACGCTGTTGGTGGTGGCACTGGTTCTGGTCTTGGATCACTCCTGTTGGAGCGGCTGTCTGTTGATTATGGCAAGAAATCCAAGCTTGGCTTTACCATTTACCCTTCTCCACAGGTCTCAACCTCGGTTGTGGAGCCTTATAACAGTGTTCTCTCAACTCATTCCCTTCTTGAGCACACTGATGTTGCTGTGCTTCTTGACAATGAGGCCATTTATGACATCTGTAGGCGCTCGCTCGACATCGAGCGCCCTACATACACCAATCTCAACCGCCTGATTTCTCAGGTAAGTCAAATTGTTAATGTGTTTAGAGTTGTCCCACATCGCCAGCGTGAAGTATATAAGTTCCAGAGGTCACCCCACTCATTGCCAATTGGTTTTGAGATGGGGTCCAAAGTTAATATACTTTGATACAAATGGATTCGTCAGCGAAAATTTATTCAGTTAGGATTTCTATTTGTAGGTCATTTCCTCGCTTACTGCATCGTTAAGGTTCGATGGTGCCTTGAATGTCGATGTGACTGAATTCCAGACCAACCTTGTGCCTTATCCGAGGATACATTTCATGCTTTCCTCGTATGCTCCTGTAATCTCAGCAGAGAAAGCTTACCATGAGCAACTTACTGTCGCGGAGATCACCAACAGCGCATTTGAGCCGTCTTCGATGATGGCTAAATGCGACCCTCGTCATGGTAAGTACATGGCTTGCTGCCTGATGTTCAGGGGCGACGTCGTGCCTAAAGACGTGAATGCGGCTGTGGCAACGATCAAGACCAAGAGAACCATCCAGTTTGTCGACTGGTGCCCGACTGGGTTCAAGTGCGGTATTAACTACCAGCCGCCAACTGCTGTTCCTCACGGCGACCTAGCCAAGGTGCAGAGGGCTGTTTGTATGATATCGAACTCGACTGCTGTCGCTGAAGTGTTCTCCAGGATTGATATCAAGTTTGATTTGATGTACTCCAAGCGCGCGTTCGTGCATTGGTATGTTGGTGAGGGTATGGAGGAAGGCGAATTCAGCGAAGCTCGTGAGGATCTTGCTGCATTGGAGAAGGATTATGAGGAGGTTGGTGCTGAATCTCCAGAAGGAGATGAATATGATCATGAGGATGAGTGAGACTTGTTGCTGCTACGTTCCATCCACCAATCTTTGCTGAACTTGTGATCATTGCATTACTAGAATTGTATTGATTGAGTTGTGCTTTTTCTTTTTCGTTTCCACTCAATATCAAACAAATCTTGTACATCAATGTTCGTCCTTTGTTGAAATAAATGCCATGCATCGAGTTATGTTTTTGTATAGAAGTCTTGAATTAATCGGCTACCTCTATATGTTTGCTTAGTAATATTCTGGAGAAAACAAAAGACTGGTTTCAAGATTTGCTCTTTACCAAAAAAAAAAAAAAAATTGAACACAGAGACAACAAAAGGTTGAAAATTACTTCATATGGAACTTAAAAGAAAAGATTATTATTAACAGATGGTAGCTGATGCAAATGAGGAGTGCCTGGCTACTACTTTTCAATAAAAAATGGGGGAAAAGAAAAAAGAAAAAAAAATTTCCTCAAGAGCTTATCCATCAACTGATGCCTTAAGAGCTTGAAATTTAAAGACGCCCAAGCTTCTGGACAAGATTATTTTCGATTTCGATTCTCTTCTTCATCAGAAAAGTATACTTGCTGAGAAGTTCTTTGTTTCCAGCATTCACAGCAAGTTTGCAGTTTAGTGCGGACTTCTCCAGTTTGTCCATGTACATGGGTGAGATAGGTAAAAAGGCACCCTTCTTGTTGCATAACCAACCGTGGGCAGCCCTTAATGCAGCCCCAAGAGAAGCAGAATCTGTTCAGCAAAGTGAAGATTAATCATGTTGTATAGCAAGAGAGTAGAGAGAATATCGTAATTTTTCATCAACTTGTCTAGTCAAATTTCATTTTTATTATGCATCTGAAGGTCTGAAACCAACAGGAATGAGGTAGACTTTCAGCCTCCTGAAATATATGTATAAAGAGATGTGCACTGATTACTTACCAGGCCTTTGGACAGTATAAACATTTGACCCAAAAATGGCAGCTATCGAGCTCAGAATGCTTTCATTCGCTGAAGCTCCCCCAGTTGCAATGATACGTTTTGCAGGAAAAGGCATTCCAAATCGCTCACCATGAGCCCTCATGGAGAGAAACTGTCCCTCAACCAATGCTCTGACCTGAAACGTGCACGTCCTTAAGAAGAAAAGGGGAGGGGGGAAAAAAAAAACTTCCACTGGGACACGTGCAATATTTTCATAAGTAAATATCCTCACTACAAACCTCAGATGGACCATCAAACTTTGGAACTTCTTTTTCCTTTATTCCTTCAAGAGAATCACCATTAAAACCCTCAAGAATGTACCGGTGGTAACCAACTGCAGAAGTTCATTTCAATAAGGTTATGAAATCTTATACAAAATGTCACATGTTTTCGGGTGGAATGAACAATATTTTCTTCCCCATCAATTAGATTTGTAGAAATTATAGCAGAAGCATTATGCCAGAGGAAATCACAACAAAAGTCTGGAAACTTGCAATCCATGAAGAACAATACTGCCAGTGCACTTACTTGGAAGGGGAGGAAGTATCTCAAGCTCCTTGTAGTAAAAGCCGAGCTTTCCACCTGCATGGAAATCAAGTATTAAGCAAGGAACATATATATTTTAACAAAAAAAAAAAAAAACAGGGTTGTAAGCCCCATGTGCTTTGAAAGAGTCTCACAGCATGATACAACCCTTACCGTTGAGAGGTTGTGTTTGTTGCAGATATTTGTTAAAGACTTCCCAGGACCCATCCGCAAATTGATTGCGTATATCTATGAAAACAACCAATCATGATATAATGATCCAGAAGATGCTCCAATTGGTTCAGTAATGAATTGATTGCTTATAACTATGAAACCAATTGTGCATGACACTTGCATATATCTATCGAAGCAATTGAGCATGACATAAAGGTCGAAAAAACAATGGATGGCGTATATGGCTGTACCTTCACGTGTCAAAGACCCATTCTTATAACACAACATCACCATGTAGCCTTCTGTATCCACTGGATTCGGAAAAACGTGTCCTTCCAAGCTTGGATTGTGTTCATTGGTAATGGCAAAGACCTAATGACATGCAGATACCAAAAAAGCTTCAGTTAAAATCATCTCATAGTATCTAATATCAATGTTTGTTTTTATTGCAAACAAAGTCTTAAAAATAATCTAGGAGGAATTCTTCCTTATTAGGATTTTAAACACTATCCATTTTCTGCATACTGGTTAGTCACGCTTCTAGCAGCCGACGAAATGTACCCAGAATATATAATTTTTCTCAAGTAGGTAAGGAATAAGTAGTTTCAGTACCCTGATTGCTAAAAGAAGAGGAACAACCAAAACAACTAGAATACCAATGAGCAAGTGAAATGCAGTTCTTTTTATGATAACAGCTTGCAAATAATGGATTGAATGACAAACCACCATAACGATGTATTTAAGTTTCTATTCATAGTAGCACAACTTACGGTGTCACTGGTACCAAGACTAATCGCAAGGTCTCCTGGAGTATTGAGTGTCAACCCTACAAGTTTCACACGATATACACGCACTCAGAGTCAATTTCATTCTCATTCTTGTTTCAAAATAGACTGATTTACAAAAGTAAAGAGCTTTCAAGTTAAGCTACCTGCTAGGCTGTTAGGATTATCACCAGACCATTGAACAATCAAACAGTTCTTGTCAAAATGGTACCTGGAAATGGTTTCAGGAGACAAATCTTAGAAGACAAACTATAGTGGACACGCAGAAAATTTATCATACATTGAGTCTCGTAGGTACAATATCAAAATTTCAACTAGCATACAAAATCAAAAGCCATAAGCAAGACAACAATCACTAACCTCTCCACAAAGAAAGGGGCAATATGCCCAGCAACAGCATGTGCAGGGGCTAATTTTCCTAGTTTGGCCTCCAAACCTGGTGCTGTGGCCTATAATGCAGAAATAATAGTCTTCCATGATTTAGCCAATTTAGAACACTGGTATTAAGACTTAAGGATCCCCAGAAACATATGGCACACTCCCTCCATCACAATATAAATAGGCATGCAGTGAAGGACTACTTTATTGGAACAGAGGGAGTACTATCTATTTTAGATATATTTAAGGATCGTGCTCTTAAAGTTCAAATATACAGAATTCGAATATACAGACCTCAAGAGCAACCTTCGACCAGTCTTTCTTTTTAATGTCCAACAAATTCATCCCGGCTCCATCGGTATGATCAATACAAGCATAGTCCCCAATGAGCAGTGAAGCCATGAAGGAGCTAACAAGAGAGATCCTCTCAGTGTTCTCATAAACTTCTGGTTTCGTTTGGTAAATCCGGCGAATTTGAGGTCCCGTATACCTTTCACAGCCACGTGAGCCAGTCAGCTTCGACAGCTCCATTGCACCACCCACTGCTTTCTCAATGTCCTTCACCTGCTCAGTGGTGCTACTATCCATCCACACAGGCGATTCTTTAGTCGAAAATGCATTTCCCAACTGTTCGACCAAAGGCTTCTTGGAATCCAATGATGTCAAAATTGCCCTGCTCCCATTTTTCCAATACACACTACCATGTTGCTGTCCACTACCAGAAACAGCAGCAATCTTTCCGAAATCCAAATTGGATTTCTGAAACCTAGAAAACACAAGCTCCAATGCTTCCACCCACATCAAAGTGGGGGAAACGATCCTACCAGTCACTGATGAATCCCTATACACACCATCCTTGGTTTTGTAATGGGGCAGTTCAGAATCAAAATTCACAATCTCCGAGGCAACAATGTTGAAACTTGTATCTAATACAGTTGCTTTCAACGACCTACAACACCAAAATATTTTCATATTTACCGATTCCAAATCATAAAAAAAAAAATAAATAAAAAATAAAAAATAAAAAATCCAATTTGATCACTAACTAATCAAGAAACCCAGAAAAATAAACAAAACCCTGATCACAAATAACAAGATACCAATAACCTCATGAACAAGAAGCACAAAATACGATTCTATCAATCAAATAGCATTTTTTGAATTGGTAAAAAATTGGGACTTACTGGGTAGAGCTGTCGATGCCGAGGAAGAGTGATCCGTCAGGCAGAGTATAATCCCCCATCACAGCAGCTGAATTAAGCGGGTTTAGAGCTAATTAAGATTACGATGATGTAAAATGGGTTTCAAACGTTGTTAGAGGTTTAATCAGAATCGAAGGTTTAAGTAGAGACTTTAATGATGACTCCCGATACGGATAGAGATACAGAGGTTTTGAAATAAATTTTTTCTGTTGTCATTCGGATAAGTTTGTTAGAATCATGAAATGGATATCTTCTGATTCTATTTTTATTTTGTTTAAAAATACTCCGATTTGTTCGTTTCATACGGATAACTTACATATCTAATTATCTACTATCATTTCTTGATTCAATGTCAATCCCTATTGTATGGTGTTATGTAATGATAAAATTATCTCAAACATGGTTTTTCAGACTTTTAACTTCATCATACTTTTTTTTTTTTGTTTTTTGATAGCGGCAATTTTATTACATCAAGTAGGATAACTATGTTTGGTTGGTTTTTTGGTTGTTTTTTTTTTTAATTTTTAATTAATATCTGTCCATTTCATCATACATTTTTATATTCTTAATGTACTTTTTTACATTCTCAATATAAAAAAATGCACTCAAAACACGCTCCAAACATAGCTTTTTATTCTATGATTAGAATATCTTTAATGATGTTAAATATTAAGTTATTTACTATCTAGTTATACTATCCATATTGAATTGAGTAAAATAAATTTAAATGGTGAAAGAATATTACATGGTAGAAATCTTGCTTTTTGCGGGCAAGAAATTAATAGTGATTTCATTTTACTGTATTTCATGTTATAATCCATTGTAGAAGAAAGAATATCAAATATGAATTGCGGTGACTTCCTGATAAGATAGATATAATGTACTGAAATGGTCTCTTACAGAGTTACAATATGTTGTTACTAATTAACCAAATTTAGTTATAATATTTTTGGGAAAAAATAAATCAATAACTTGTCACTAGTGGGAGGAGACGTTTACTAACATATTGTGATAGACAGATAGGTCAACTACAAAATGATAATCCATAAAAATTGATGCTATTGTTTATTTGAAAAGGTAAATTGATACTATTGTGGATATAATGTAATATATCACGTCAAAATTTTATAATATTATATTTAATTCAATTTTTTCTTAAATTGACTTACTTTTATACTATAAAAGTGTAATAAAATTATAATAATATTTTTTAAAATATTTTTTTAAATATAAAAAAATTAAATAGACCAACCTACACATATTGACCTCCAAAAACATTTTATCGTATAAGAAACTTTTCACCATTATAAATTGTTATACTCTACGTAAATAATAAATAGTATAATATAATTCAACTATTTACTACAACTAAGATGTTATATTTATTCAAAAACAAGTAATTATGGGTATTGAAAAAAATAAAATAAAATCTTTATATAAGGATAAGAATGGGTTTTTTCATTTTTATGGTATGAAAATCATAATGTGCGAGGAGGAAACTTGCGATTCTCAAAGTGTTTCACTCAATATCAAAAGAAGGACAGATGGGCCAATTTATTTGTATTGGACAGATGGGACAAATAATTCTATCTATCTATACTAGTGAATTGCGCGACCATGGCCCAACATATCTGTAAATCTTAGAAATGTTTGTATCTGGAAAAAAAATATTTTGTATTTGGCCCGATATATTTTAGAAATATTTGAAGAATTTTAGAAATGTTTTATAAGTGTGATGTTTGTATTTGACAAAAAAATATATTGTATTTGGCCAGGTACGTTTTAGAAATGTGTGAAGATTTTAGAAATATTTTATAAGTGTTACTTCTTAAATATAAATAAACTTGATCAAATATATGTCTTGAAGTAAATGCTAGATAAAATATAAAAGCATCCTAATAAGTTTAATATTAGTAAGATAATTTATTGATTTTCTCCATTAGTTGTGCCAAATCAATACTTAGTTTTGGAGATTTATATAACTTTGTAGTTAGCTTCTTCCAAAGGGTATACGCTTAAATGTTGGAACTATTTCTTCTAAAAGTTTACAGGTAGTAAAATATCAAAAATTTTGAAACTGGTTAATTGTTGAAACTGGTTGATCACAAATATGAGAATGAAAATAATATAAATTTGCATAGGTTTCAAGATATAGCAAAAAAGAACTCACCTCGTGATGGCAAATAAAAAAAAAAGTAAAAGATAGCCCATTAAAGTTTGAGAATTTTTATTTTTTTCTGTAGGTAAAAATGATGTATAAAAACACAAATAAATGTAGAAACATCATTCCTTCCCTCTCCACCTCAAATTCATAAAAGGATTCCCCATAAATTAGTTAAAAGAAGCGATCTGAACTATTTATATAATGAGGAACTAAAAAAAGTCTAAAAATCAAATCCAAAAAAGTATATTCTTGAAACCCCGAACACAAAAAAAGAAACGTGCTTCATTTGTAAATAAAATAATAATAATAATAATAATAAAATAATAATAATAATAATAATAATAATAATAATAATTGGTCAACTGGGAGTATGAAATAAAATCAAAAGCAATTAAACAAAGAAAAAACACACTTCATAATTGGCCATATATGAAAAAAAAATTGAGACTCCATAATTAAAAAAAAGAAAACCACTCTAATTGAATGAAACATAAAAAACAAATTTAAAAAACCACGCTTTGTAACAAAAACCCAATCAATCAATTCAATCCAAACATAACTAAAATCATACAAAAATCCTAGGCTAACTAACCAAATAAGAAATCACATCATACTACCTGATAACGGCTACGGTAGCTGTCACGAATGGACGCATAAAAATAATAGTAATAACACTATTCTTGTACGGGAAAAACAAAAAATAATAAAAGTCAAACCAATGATCTGTGGAAATAAAATCATTTAAATTTTAATACCTGCAATGGCACCACCACAACGGTCGAAGTAAGATCAATGAGAACTTTTTTTTTCCTTTGTGTTTATATAGAGAGGTAAAGAGAATATTTTTTGAAATTAAAATTTTATCCGATTAAGATGTAGTTGATTATCACTAATGAAAAGATTGAATATGCTAATAGGAAAGGAGTATATTTCACCACATATTCTCAATTGATGATTGATGAAGAATTTGTTTTTTTTAATTGTGGAGAAGAGATTGATTAAGGAGTCGATTGTCGTGGAGATGGGGATTTGAGTTTTTTATGAACCCGTGATTTTTTTTTTGTTTGTTTTGACAAAAATAGGAGGTGGAAGTGAATTTAGACTGCATTTGCCTTTTAAATTTAGGAGATGTGGTAATAAAAATTTATTTTAAAAATATGATGTGGAAATGCCACATGGCAAATGATGGTGCTTTCTCTTAAGTGTGGTTTTTTGTTTCTAATATAGTATGATATTATACTAAGAGAGAAACCAGAGAGAGAAACCATTAGAAAAATGACACATAGGATAAAATTCTATGTGTCATTTTTCTAATGATTGAGTCAAAAAATATTTACAACAATTATACTAATAGTCCTTCAAATTTTATGTAAATAAAGTTTTATCAAATGGCATTTAAAACTATAACTTAAAATAGCAAAATAAAAATTAATTAAATTTAATGGACGGGATTAATGAACATTAATGCACCAGAATTATTCCCTCCCTAAAAGAATCTCCAAAGTTACTACTGGACTCATTTAATTAATCTCTCTCAAAAAAAAAAATCTCCCTCCCAATCATGTAAATCAATAGACTACAATTCAAAAAAAAAAAAAAAATCAATCATTCAACATTAATGTTATCTTTAAATTTTCTCCCAAAAACATGACCCTGTATTTTCGTCAATAAAAAAGAAAAAAAGGTACAAAATTTACCTTCAATTATTACTAAAAGGATGGGATTTAACTATAATTAAATGTTATCTTTTGAATTTCAAACCAATGCATTTATTTGTGTAATATCATATCTACCCAAATAAATATAATCTTTCCTTAATAATATCTCAAAAATTGTTATAAACTTTATCTTTATCACTAAAATTTTGGATAATCAATTATCATCAATCCTAATGTATCTCTATTTATACATGCCACACAAACTATGAGTATGTTCTAGTACTGCAAAAATTTCCCCTTCCCCAAAACAACCCGAAATCCAAAGATGAAAGGGCAAAAAAGTTAGCCCTACAGTTGGTTTGTTGTTCTGAAAGTGATGAACTAATAGTGGGTCGATCGTGGGAGGTAATGGTTAATTAAGGTTATATATGATTTTTTTTCCGTATATTCTTCTGCAAAATGATGTTTTAGGGTTCTTTTTTAGACGTTACTAAATTTATGTTTTTTTACCCATAATTTCATTATTTTATTAATTATTATTTTCTATTGTCATAGCAAAAAGGGATTAAAGGGCAAAAATTTTAACTCTACAGTTGGTTTGTTGCTCTAAAATATTAAGTATTGGGCCAAACAGTACCATAGAATCTTTAATTACAACAAAATAATCATAAAAATTTTAAACTTCACTCTTCAGTCACACATAATCTACCATCTACTATCGATAATTACTTCATTATGTATTACGCGTACAATCATTTTATCTTTTCATTCAATATGTAGCATTAATACAATCTTATTTATTTTACTCTGCTTATGAGTGTTATTGTCCAGTTCTTCTCCTTCAATAAAAATCAAGTGAACACTTGCATTTCAAATGATATGCATTATTTCATCTTTACAGTTACGCCTTTATTTAATTTTAGTTGTGTAATGTATCTTAATATGGACTCCAAATACATTTTACACTTTTTATATTTTCTGTTGATTTTTTATAATGTATATAAATAAACCCTGCGCATCGCGCGGGTTTAACATCTAGCATATTTCAAAATGATAATCCCATATATTAAAAACGAAAGTTTTTGAGAAAAATAGATCTTATGATGCTGTAAATCTTTTAATGTAATTATTCAGTTACACTTATATATGATTTTCGAATTTTTTAACCAAAACAAAAATAATTACAAAATATATTTATATATAAAGTATAGCTAGTAAACTATAGCTCCTTATCTGATTTTTTTAATTTATATATATATATAAAAGAATCTCGGTAAATTAAGATTTAAAAATTAATAATTTCTAGCAATTAATAATTTTCTTCGTACCTAACTTGGGACCAGTACCAAAAGTGAAAAAAAGTCGATAAAATAATAAAATAATAATGTTTTAGAAATCTCCTAAATATCTATAGGTCCCGATTATAATACCACAAATTAAATACCTAATAATAACTACATAAATTTTATGTAAAATCTAAACTATTGATACTAGTTTTTAATCTCCAAAGATGATATGCACTATTCAGAAAAACTTTCGTTGCCTATACTGCAAAAGAGACCAGCCATATCCCAAACCTGCGGAAGTCACTCAAATTC